ACACTGATAGAGAGCGGTCAGGAGCCCTGCAGGACGCTGTATAGTAACTGGCTGGTGGTGATTCTGCTGGTTGTTTACCTGCTGGTCACCAACATCCTGCTCATCAACCTGCTCATCGCCATGTTTAGGTACGGATGTCTGTCAATCTGTTTCTAGCGAGCTTTGCTGACACTTCAGTTCTCTTCACTCTTTACGCTGCCTTCTTTGTGTCCACCCAGCTCCACCTTCTCTGAAGTGCAGGGTAACAGCGACATCTACTGGAAGTTCCAGCGCTACACGCTGATAGTCGAGTACCACTCTCGTCCCTCCCTGGCTCCTCCTTTCATCATCCTCTCTCACATCAATCTCTTATCAAAAGAGTCATCCGCAAAGTGCCCTCCATCAAGCGCCAACACTTTGGTCAGTATTTGAACATGATCCTAGGAACTGGGCATGGCTGTTTCATTGTGTCGTTGGACAAAATGTCCAGATCAAACTTGTGGTACCGTACAGCTGATGTGCCTCGATGAGAATTACCCCCTTGTTTTCTTTGCAGACTGTAAAGACCTCTGAGACGCTGAACTGTACTTTAAGGCTCTTGTTAACTCCAACACTGGCAAAGCGATTAAACCCTTTTACCTTTTCCATCAGTGTTGGAGTTGAAAGGGAAAGCCGCCAACAAGCTAATGACGTGGGAAGCCATTCAGAAGGAGGACGTCTTGACGGCCCAGAACAAGATCCAGAGAAGCAGTGACTCAGAGAGGCTCAAACGGATGTCTGTCAAGTGAGGACGCTTTTTTACACCAACACTGCAGCTGTTTGAGTGTTCAATGTTTGCTGAGGTTAATATCTCCCTCATCTTCTCCTTTTTCTTCTTTCAGAGTCGACAGTGTGCTGAAACACATGACTGAAAGCAGAGACTTTGACCACAGGCTGAGGGCTTTGGAGAACGAGGTAAAAACGAAAGCGTGTGTAAAAAAAAATAGTGACGCACTTTATTTCCTTTAATGTCAACATCTTTTTGGGTTCTTTTTTCCTTCTCTTTATCAGATGAGAGAAAATTTCAGCTGGATTGTTGATACGTTGGCACAAGGCAGCACTTTCAAACCTCCTCGTCCGCCTCCCACATCAAGAGGTACACATGAGAGCATTAAAGTCGCCTCACAGAAACAACACGGATGTTGGTGGCATGTTGGGTTGTCAGAGCTCTCATTCCGTATTCTGCTTCACTCTTCTTCACAGATTCTTTCCTGTCTTCTTCCAATTCCACCTGATCCAGCCGCGGCGATGCGTTCACTCGCTCAGGACCAGTACATCGTTTTTAAATGCTTTTACTTTTTGTGGCTGCTTAGCTACACACCCAACTATGTTCATCACTGGACTCAGTCACCAAAATACTCTACCTTCTATACTTAAAGTTTAGCAGCAATCACTTGTTAGAGTTATGATGAAATGGATATTTTAAATGTTGCATTGATGATTTTAAATGGATTCATTTTGTCAATCGTATCATGTCTTCATTGCTGTAGTATTAGTCTATATTACTGTTTTAATACGTTTGTGTTCTGTTACTTTTTGTAACAGGTCACATAGTGGAGCAAGTCTATTGAAGGAGCCTTTTCCGTAAATGGGCCACCTGTCAATTCCACCAGGGGCTTACACGTTTAAAAAAAAAATATATTTGCACAATTTAAGAAATACTGTTGGAAAAACGGCAATTATGTTCCACCTTAAGACAGAAGGTCTGTGCTCACATAGAGGCACATTGAGTTCTGGGTTATCTGATAATCAGGATGTTTTGTGGGTCGTTTTGTGGTGCCAAAGATGATCGTCTACATCCGAGGTTGACTACCAGCACCAGGGTTTTGCCCAGAGTCCCCCGTTTCAGCATGTTTATCTTCCAACTATATATTCCTTCTCTGAACATGAAAACCTTTGAGTAGGCTTGGTGCATGACTTGTATGTTTGTCAACCCTGCCCCCGGTTTGCAAACATTAAATATCCTCTTTTGATGATTTTACACCGGTGTCGAGTGAAATGTTTCTAACAGAGAGGGAGAGTCAAAAAGCCAAATGAGCTTATTTTAAGCCTCCACCTATAAAATATTAAAATATTTTACAAAATTACAAATTGAACTAAGCATGAGATAGACAACAAAAAAAAGAAGAAATAGACATAAAACACAAGCTCCTGAAGTTTGCGGATGACACCACCCTCATTGGACCGATGTCTGGTGGGGATGAGTCCGCCTACAGGTGGGAGTTTGACCATCTGGTGTCGTGGTGCAGCCACAACAACCTGGAGCTCAACGCTCACTAAAGACAGTGGAGATGGTTGTGGATTTCCGGAGGAACAGAGCCCCACCCTCCCCCATTACCCTGTGCAACTCCCCCGTCACTATTGTGGACTCCTTCCGTTTCCTGGGCTCCATCATCACCCAGGACCTCAATTGGGAGCTGAACATCAGCTCCATCACAAAGAAGGCTCAGCAGAGGTTGTTCTTCCTGAGGCAGCTGAAGAAATTCAACCTGCCAAAGACGATGATGGTCCACTTCTACACGGCCATCATGGAGTCCATCCTCTGCTCCTCCATCACCGTCTGGTACGCTGCAGCCACAGCCAAGGACAAGGGCAGGCTGCAGCGCGTCATCCGCTCTGCGGAGAGGGTGATCGGCTGCCACCTGCCGTCCCTGCAGGACTTGTTCGCTTCCAGGTCTCTGAAGCGAGCTAAAAAGATCGTAGCCGACCCCTCTCACCCCGGACAAAACCTGTTTGTGCCCCTTCCATCTGGCAGGAGGCTGAGGTCCATCAGGACTAAGACCTCCCGCCACACGAACAGTTTCTTCCCGTTGGCAGTCGGGCTCATCAACAGAGCCGGTCCCCCACTGACTGACTATAACACTCCACCGGTCACTCCCCTTCACACTGCACATGCCACTTTAACCAGGCATGAAAACAGGTCAAGGGCGAAAAAGGTCAGAAGGATATTAGCCCTCTAGCGCATGGGGTGGTTTTCAACTGGTTTTGTCCCAGAGATTTCTTCGAGTCATTCGTTGACGGGGGGTAAGATATTACCGACCATTTTACCGACTCGGTTCTTTGAATCTCGTTCAGTAAAATGAACGAATCTTTCTTCGAGTCATTCGTTGACGGGGGGGGGGGGTCAAAGACAAATTCACCTCCCGACCGTGTCTTCGGGTCAATGATTCGTTCATCGTACTTTGAAGTCAGAATGCGTATCAGGTTGGCAGGTCTGCTTATTGATAGAACGGTGGACCACTTTACCTTCTGCCTCGTCAGTCTCCTCACCTCAAAATCTACCAAAAAAACGGTAGCGTTAGCTAATCATTTTCCACCGGAGCTTTAGCTTGCTGGCCAACATCGCGTTCTCTCCTGCTGTGTTAAATGACTCAACTCATCAAGCTGTAGCTAACGTTAGCTAAGTCTATGTCAACAAAGCTCCTGGGTAACTTAACTTAGATCCATCCCATCCATCCATTGTCAAACCGCTTATCCTGCACACAGGGTCGCGGGGGGGCTGGAGTCCATCCCAGCCAACTTCGGGCGATACTTAACTTAGATATACCAGAAAATATTAAAACCATCACTCACCCTGTTCGCAATTCACTGAATCTCGCGCTCCCTTCTGACACGCGCACCTGTTCGCAGTTCACTGAATATGAACTGCGAAAAAAACTCATTGAATCTACACGATTGACGTAGGTCACCTATTTTGGTTTCAAAACGGCAAATTTCGCCGAAAGGTGAGGGATTTTCATGCCTGTTTAACTGTAATTTTTCACTTTGTCGTCACTCGTCACTTTGTTACTTGTTCGCTAGTGCACTTAATGCTTAATATTTTTTAACTTTTTTTAATATTTTAAATTTTTAACTAACTGTATTCTCTTGTTTTATACTAACCCATAGCCTTATTCTACTAACCCATTGCATCAGCATTTCATTTGACCTTATTTTATTACTTGTGCACCGCTGTCTTGTTGTCTATTGTTACACTGTCTACTGTCACGCACCAACCGCCAAGACAAATTCCTTGTATGTTTGACATATTTTGGCAATGTTTCCTGATTCCTAAATAATCTTACGAAACAGCGATTCCAATTTCTTTTATGCATGCATTTTATAGAGGGACGTTTTTTTAGCGGGAAACAATTATTCCATAATTTGGTTCCCCTTAAAATAGGAAGTTGACCTCTGCTCGTCAGTAATTTAGGAGGATGAAGATATATTGACGAGTTGTAAATCTATGAATAAACTTTGAATTAGGACTTAAACACTTCTATATTAACATCATACATAGTAAGGATCTGCAGTTTCTTCTCGTGTTGCAATCTTAACAAAACGTTTCTGAAGGAGCAACATTTTTTGCAGAGAAGTATGAAAAGTACTTTCCCAAATAATATTACAATATGAAAAAAAGGAAAAATTAAACTGTAATAAAGAATAAGGATACAGTTGTAAAGAGACAAGATGTCGAACCCTCCGTAAGATTTGAATAGTTTGTTTTTCTACTAACACAGTGAATATGTTTACTCCAATGTTTTTAACAATAATAATGCCTGAGAAATTTGTAGATCACACTTCATTTTTGTTAAATCCTTCAAGTAAGAGTTTTAGCCACTGAAAATTATACAATTAGGTTTTTGATATTCAAACATTATTGACTTTGAACCATGTAGCATAGGCAGTTAATTCAACATTGGCTTCCGTAATCAGTGAATTGGAATTTTAATAGAGAGTAGTAATTGTGTCATCTCCCAAAAAAAGTAAAAGGCTTTTTAACACATCGGACAAATCATTAATATAAATTAGGAATAATAATGGTCGAAGAATGGATCCTTGTGGAACCCCACATATAAGTTGAGCGTTGTTTGGATAAATGCAATGTCATGAAATCCAGATTTCTGGAGCTTTTCCAATATATCTGTGGTTTTAACTGATCCTTCCTATTTACTAAAATACGAGGACTTTACCTGCAGTGTGCGCCTCCTATAAAAACCACACCCTCACCTGCGAGGTGTGTCCAACTGCTCGGCACCTGGCTGACCTCCTAAAGTCCGTAGAAACGATTGGCAATTACTTTACTATAGTTTCAGTCACTTTTTTTTTAGTTACCGCGATGGTGCAATCCAGAATAGTGCTTTTAAAAATGGTCAAAAAGAAATGCTGAGTATCGTTTACACCCACGATTAGTCGCACGGAAAAGTGGGTGAACAAAAAACACCATGAGAGACGCAGGAAGAGGAGTTGACGGAGAACACGTCGGAAAATCCGAGAAAGACCAGGTGGGTAGGCTTTAAATTTAAATCGCTCTGCTCCTGTTGCAATGGAATTCCCCCCAAACACTCGAACATGATATCACAGTTAAAGTTGATGCCACCGTAACGTTACAACTGTGTGATTAAACAGACCCGCATTTTAAAGCGCTCGTATGCCACCTAGTACGACTGCGCATGTTCGTTGATGCTGCAAGTTGCTGTCAGCTGTTGGTGGACGTTGGGCTAACGTTAGCCTTTAAGCTAACGCTTAGGGCTACCGTTAGCCTTTAAGCTAACGCTTAGGGCTAACGTTAGCCTTTAAGCTAACGCTTAGGGCTAACGTTTGTGGAAGCTTAACGGCTAACGTTAGCCCTCAACTTTTGGGCTTACGTTGGCCTTTGCGCTAACGTTTAAAGCTAACGTTAGTCCTTAAGCTAACGCTAGCTTTAAGGCTAATGTCAGTTTAAAGATGCACTTTCGACTGTTGGACTATTAACGTCAACAAGGGGGGTGGTCTCGGAAAGCTTTACGTTTAATTAAAGTAACGTTAGCTTAAAATAAACTTTAAAGCAACTTTGACGAGCACGCCCACTATTGTAATGTCATAACTTTAGCTATGTTTAAACTAGGCTAACGTTAGCTGCCTAGCTAGCACTCCATACATTTAAAAGGCCTATGCTTGCATTTATATCTGTAACAAACTGAACTTAATGGACCCATCCTGTTAGGGAGATACATATGTCTTCACGGTTTGACAAAGCTGTAATATGTTGGTTAAATCAAAATAAATCCTTTTTATAGAGTAAGTTTAAATTCAAATTTGTAAATAGAGAGTCCAGTTTCAACTATTAAAGGAAGTCCATTGCAGCTCCCTTGTTTGTGGTTTTGCACTGACGGTACCTTGGCACAGTTGTCGCCCACATACACGCTGTTGTATTCAAAAATGAAGAAACGCCGGACGGACAGAGGTCATCGCAGATCAAAAGGTTAAATCAAATGTATTTAATAAAAGAGATGGCGTTGTGGTAAAAAGAACATCTCAGCTGAGGAGCCGCTGGTCTCAGCAACCAACAGGCCCCAGGTCAGTGCTTTGTCTGTCGCCTCCACCAGTGAACTCAAGAACAATGGTTCCTACAGGTATTTTATAACAATGCTTAAAGGTGTGAAAGTTAGTGTCCACACCTCTGGAAGTGGTCTTCTGGTGAGTTCAATGTAACTCTGATTTCGAATGGCCCATAGTCAATATCAGTTGTTGTGCAAGTATTACATGCATGCATTCCAGTTGATAACATTACATCAAATACAATCATAACTGCATTGATATTATTCTATTACAGTTGCAGAATTACAGTGGTTTTACAATATTGTCATTACTTTATTGATTACACAGTTTCAGAATCATGGCTGTATTCTGGTGTACACTATATGCATTTTTATTAATTTTATGGACCGTGTCGTATATTTGTTTCTAATATCCTACAACGCACACAAACCGATAGATGGGATTCTGAAACCACAGCACCTTGTCAGAAGTCACAGCTAGCTGTGTTTAGGCACTGTGTATCTCACCACCTTCTGAGTCAACGTTTCTCATTCTAACATTTTCCTGCACCCTGCAGCCTTATGAATTCCAAACATAGAAGGGTAGGGGTGGCTTTGAACTTCTCGAAATTGAAAATGCGTGTATACAATTTGCCTGCAATAACCATTTGGAAATGTCTTTCAGAGTTGGATCCCCAAAATCATCAAGAAGCGAGTGTGCACAACTTTTGTGGAAGATTCTGTCAGGTATTGTGAACCTTCTGTGCAGCCCATTCCTTTGTGGCCGACATGTTTATATACTGTGGTGATTTCGGAGGATGATCGTGTTTCAACGTGTGCTGTCCTCATACCTCCCTCAGTAATGGCGCTCTCTGTCAGTGCGGGGGTAAAAGAGACGATCACGGCTCCGTGGCTCTCGGTGACTACTTCAGCACAGCAATTGTCAACCGCTGGGACAGCGTCCAGCACTCCTCTGAATACCCGACGGATGCTTTTGGAGAATTGCAGTTTGCAGGAGCCAGCAAGCGGCACAGCTATGTGCGTGGTGGTTCTGTTCCCTGAATGCCTCCATTACATGCTTTAGCTCTATATCCTAAGGGTGTATGTCCAATCGGGGTGGCGTGTGGAGTAGAGAGGGTGCGCTGGGAACCGCAAGGTTGGCGGTTCCAACCCCGGTTGCTCCATGTCCCATGTCCATGTCCCATGTCTCCCCGGGCAAAAAAATGTAAAAACCATTGGGCAAAATGCAATGTATGTCGCTTTGGATAAAAGCATCAGCTAAATGACATGTAATATAAAATAATCGTGCCCATTGCTGATTTAAATGCACATTGGGGCTGTAGTAGTCACTTTGCTTTTGCTTTCCATATTGGAAATGCGTTTGATCAAATGTCCATTTTGTCTCCCGTTATTAGTTCCTGCGTCTGTCATGGGACACCCCCCCATCTATGGTCTACACCCTGATGACTGCCCACTGGCACCTTCCTGCACCTAACCTGGTGGTTTCTATAGTGGGCGGAGAAGGCAGGACAAAGGTGAAGACTTGGGTACGGGAGGTCCTGAGGCAGGGGCTGGTGAAAGCCTCACAAAGCACAGGTAAACACATTAAGAATGCATAATAAAGAATGCAAAATGCAATAATTTCGCAGATGTAAGCCAGTTTTAGGCATATATTTTTTGCAAAACTAAAAATGTCATGACATCGACATACTTTCTCAGGAATTTTCCACAAGCCCATGGTTCCTGTTTTTACTGTAACCAGGAGCGTGGATCCTAACTGAAGGCTTGCGAGAAGGCGTTGGCCGGTGTGTTGGAGAGGCGGTGAGGGATCATGCAACCGCGGCCTCGTCGGTGTCCGTCAACAAGGTGGTGGCCCTGGGTGTCGCTCCCTGGGGCCTGGTGGACAACCGACAGCAGCTGGTCAACCCTGAGGTGGTTCAGACACTCACACATCGTGTTTACCAACTTGTTTAGTTCACCCAATTATACCCACCAGGGAGTTTCTTGGGATCAATCAAATGCAGGCCTTGAACATACCACAATTTCTTAGTAAAAGCAGAACAAACGCTGCTATATCATATCATATCATATCCTTTGATTGTTCCTCCTGCAGGGCAGCTTTCCTGCTAAGTATTTCGTCCAGAACAAGCACAAAGACTCCTGCCGCCTGGACAACAACTACCAGGCCTTCCTGCTGGTGGACGATGGGAGTGTGGGACGCAGAGGAGAGACTGGGTTTAGGGCCAAGCTGGAGGACTACATCTCCCACCAGCGCACAGGCATCTGGGGTGAGAGATGGGAGAAGTAAATGTGATGTTTTGTCTATGTAGTGGAGGAATAGGGAAACTGTGTGCCATTGTCTCGCTAAAACATGACGCTTATGACTAAAGGAGGTAATACATTTAAAAAAAAGGAAGGTTGTTCCTTCATCTCAGTTACTGTTGAAACTAGAAATGGTGAAACTCCGTGTCCATACAATGACGACACATCCTGGCTGTAGTTTCCTGAATTGAGGGTCTTTCTTTTTGTGTTGTTATAGCTTCAAGTCCCCTTTGTACAAATATTCTATCAATTTGTTGTGTTATAAAACTGAGATACGTCCAAACAGTACTACGGTCTTCCAACCACAAACGTGTTCTTGCACCAAAATCAAAAAAATATTTGACCCTCTTGGTAATTTCTGTTAATAATGCATGTAGTGATTGGACAATCCTCTGGTATCCAATATATTATCTACTATTTTGTGCCACTGCAAGTATTCCACACTCTATCTGGCTATCCAATCAAGCTGAGATTTTTCCAAAATGTACATGGCTGCTGTTTCTGTATTCTTGCATCTCAAGGCTGTTGGGTTCCAAGAAAAATATGCAGATGGTTTGAAGAATGTCTGCGACTATAATAAACATTTCTTAATTAAAGCGAAACCAGTACAAGCAAAGACTTCACTAATACTCTGTATTAATTAATTGTCAATAATGTTTTGTAGGCAGCGGCAGCATTGACATCCCCGTCCTTTGTATGCTGATATCAGGCGACGCAGGCATGCTGGAGGTACAGACGCTGCTTTCTATGTCTGACCACAAAGAAGTTACTGGCTCAGTTTTTATCATAAAATGTACCTTTTCTGTATTCTGAAAACCCCCCCCGAAATCTCCCTCCCTAATTTCTACCAGAGAGTCGATCTCTCTCTTAAAAGCTCCATGCCCTGGCTGGTGCTGGCCGGCTCCGGAGGCCTGGCCGACTTCTTGAGCGACGTCTTGGACAATCTGTCATCAGCCACGGCCGTCCAGTCGTCCGGTGAAGGGAACGCCGAGGCGTCTCCCAGCGTGGATCTGAAAGACAAAGTAGCAGAACGGGTCAAGAAGCACTTCCCTGCCGAAAAGGAGCCGGACAAACTAGTCGAACGGGTAAGCGCTGTGGACGGAGACGTGTGCTCCTATTCTGTGGCTTCTGACATGCGGAACAGGAAGAAGCTGTTTAATGAGCCGCTACAGGGCGAGATGTTTAACTCTCAGAATATTTCATAACATATTGGCTTGCTGCTGCCAAGTTTCTACAACAAAATCATCGGTGTATTGCGGCATGTTATTAGTATTTATTTAGCCCTTACAGACCTGTAATCAGTGTTGTGATTTGTTATGTAAATGCTGGACATCCTGCTAACTCCGCATGGTGAGGCAGTCTGCCTCATGATATTATGGATTAAACAATCCTTATTCATCATTAGCTGCTTGTTGATGTACATATTATTAAAAAGTGTTTTTTTGTTCTGTGTCTGCAGGCTCTGAGTATCTACCAGATGAGAGACTTTATTACTGTCTACCATGGAGAGCAGGAGGGCCCAAATGAATTTGACACTGTCCTGCTAAAAACTTTGGTTGGAGGTACAAACGACTAATGTATTATATAGATATTGGTGTTTTTATGTGTGTCAACATAATCCTAAAGCAGATTTTACTTTTTCTTTTAGCTAGTAAGCATCGTGCGTCAGTTGATGCCAGCCCTTACAATGAAGAGCTGAAGCTAGCGGTCACATGGAACAGGGTTGACATTGCCAAGAGTGAACTTTTCAATGGAGACATCCCTTGGACGGTGAGGGGGGCGATTCTACCTCTCTAAAAATAGCATTATGTGTAGTAACACGTTTAGCCCTGTTGTGCAACAATGTCCATGTGTTTTGAAATTGGAAATGTTGTATTGATCTTGTAATGAAACCTTCGATCAAATAGTATGAAGACTTAGAAGACCCCATGACGGATGCCCTGATCAACGACAAGCCTCAGTTTGTGCGTCTTTTCACCGAGAATGGCCTCAACATTCTGGACTACCTGACTTACGGCCGGCTGGAGAGCCTTTACAGCTCCGTGGCTGAAGGGACGGTGCTTTACCATCTACTTCAGCGCCAGCTGGTGGAGCGGCTTGGAACTGCAACGTCAAACCAGCAGGACTTGCCTTCCAAATTGGCGGCAGAGAACATGCAGATTGGCCCAGTGACGAAGATTACCCTTTTTGAGGTTTGACATGCTGTACCTCTGGTCTAATTTTGGGCAAACAAAAAGAAAAAAGAGAAGAATGTATTTTGATACAAACAACCTTTTGTCTTTTTTTTTTTGTTACTCTCCCATCATTTTCTCAGGTTGCCAGGGTCCTGGAGCTGTTGATGGGTGACGTCTGCCAGCCATTTTACTATAATGCTTTGGGCTTAGAAGATATCTCATCCAAGAGGAAAGCACTTAGGGTACCCTCACTTTTTATTAATATGTTGACAAACTGTACCTGAAAGCCACTAAACTACCGACAGGCCTCCTGTCAGTGTGGCCTTGTTATCTGATCCTTCCTCCCCTGCTTCTTTTCCTCCATCCCAGCGTGTCAGCAAGGTGCTGCGCGGAGAATGCTCTTATCGAAAAGAACAATGCCAATCCCCCTGGACCTCCCTCTTCATCTGGGCCGTCCTGCAGAACCGCAGCGAGATGGCAACTTTCTTCTGGGAGATGGTAGAACTTCCCAAAATACAGATTGCTCATGAGAATCTGAAGCTGCAACCAGGCTTTTTACTGTTTCTGCAGTACCACAGATACTTCTTTAAACCACATGCCCAAGAAATACTCCAGTACCCATTATGAAAGACTTTATATGCCCTGACTTCTTTTGTGGTCTCTACCAGGCAGGAGAGTCTGTGCTCAGTGCTCTGAGTGGCTGTAAGATTCTGAGGGAAGTGTCCAAGTTGGAGGTGGAGACGGAGAACAAGCTGTCCATGAAAGAGTTGGCCCAGAGGTTTGAGAACCTGGCACATGGTGAGAACATGAACTTTGAACATATCTTTATTCTAAAAATATTAGGTTGAAAAAATTCTGTGCATTTCAACAACAGCCAATTAAATGTACAGCAATGACAATCTGACATCATGGTTGTTCCAGTGCAATCTGTCAACTATAAATTTAGCTTTTCTTTTTTTTGGGGGGGGGTGGTCATGATCAATTTCTTTCTTTTTTTTCTTGACTGTAACCAACCCGTTTCTATCCTTTACCTTCCCTCCTCTCAGACATGTTCAGCTCTTGCTATCGGAGCAATGAGAGTCGCTCTTTCACCCTACTGATAAGGAAATCTACAGTTTGGGGCGCCACCACCTGCCTCCAGATGGGCATGGGCGCTGACGCACGACTGTTCTTCAGCCACGACGGAGTGCAGGTGTGTTACTGTTTTTACACAGACTCATCGATTACAACCGTGGCGCCAAGTCTCTGACTTCATTCCACAGCTCAACCAGTTCTGTTTATGCTCCGTCCCTTTCAAATGTTAAAATCTTAAGCTTGCTTTCCTAGATATACCGACTAAAGAGTAATGTCCTTTTTTACAGTTGCAATCAGCTCCAATCATGAAGGGGTTGAATAATTTTGAGACTGCAGTAAATTCATTAAAGTCATTAAAAGTAGCATTTTGTATTGAATTTGGACAAAACCTTTAATATTAGTTTCATTAAACTACTTAAACAATTCTTGTGTAATTTTGTTTATTGAAAACAGCTGAGAAATTGTATATTTTGCCAATAAACCTAATGTGCAATGGGGGGTTAAATAATTTTGATTGCAACTATATATCCTATATTACTTTAACATTATACCATCCTAAATATGAATATACACACTCTGCAAAAACATTTAATGTTGTACTTAAATTGTCTTCCTTAATTGACCTGTTACCATGAATTCATTTCAGCATGCTACACATACAACACACTCCACTTCCATATTGCGCAAAATAAATGAATAGCAGTTGGGAAAACTGGTCTAATTTTATCTTCTCCTCTAGTCTCTATTGTCCCAGATCTGGTGGGGGGACATGAAGAGGAACACAGATGTGTGGAAGCTCCTGCTCACCTTCTTTTGTCCCGTCCTCTGCTACACCAACCTCATCTCCTTCAGGTAAAATACACATTTGTATCGCTACTTTTTTCAAGTTGCATTCAGAGGATGCTAATATCTGCACTGACGCATGAAAACATTCCCCACCACACAGGAAGCAAGAGGACCAGCACGAAGGGGAAGACGAGAAGCCTAACGAGGACGGAGCGGGCAAGGACAGCCACAGCCTCTATGGCCACACAGTCTTCTCTTTCTCAGAGCTCAAGCACGGGTAAAACCAAACCCCAAACCTATTTAAAGTCAGTGTTCTTCCTTTTTACGACAGCCTGTTCTTAGTTTTCGATGCAACACTTTCAGTTTTATTTTTTCCAATGGATTACTCGTGTTTTGTGCTCATTTAAAATGTCTACGTTTTTTTTTACCAGTGATGCTGATGCACAAGAATCAGTCGCTCCCAGCACACCAGGCATTAAAGGTGAGCCCGCTTTCAAATGAAGCAACTTTAAATCATTTTAAAAAGTAGACTAAGCTACTAAACCAGGTCCGCTGACTCCCTTACAGGTAGACGCCTCTCTCACAACCCCCCCCATCGTCCGTTCATTGTGTCGAGATGGCGTCAGTTCTGGTTTGCCCCCGTCACCGCATTCCTGGGCAACGTTCTGATGTACTTCCTGTTCCTCCTGCTGTTTGCCTGGGTGCTGTTGGTGGACTTCAAGCCCCCGTCCTCCTCTCGTCTGGCCATCACAGAGTATGTGCTGTACTTCTGGGTGTTCACCATCGTGTGTGAGGAGATCCGGGAGGTGAGTGCAGAGAGATGCGCTCGTACCAAAGGCTTTGGCATGCTTCTGCAAGTGCAAAGCAGAGACTTTTTTTTTGCCCCCCCCCTTTTTTTTGGAGGACATATTTGTCCCGTAGTTTGCGGAGATCTCCCTCCATGAATTGGAGGTCATCTGCGCGTCCTTATAGTCTGCCAATGACTGGTTGTACAAGTAGTCATATTTCCATATTTCTTCCGACCAAAGCTCTTCAATCTGATTCATTCTCTTTTCAAAAATCCTCCCTTTAAAAAATGGCGGTATAATGCTATGAAATTGGAAGTGTGAGACTCTGGAAAGGATGTACATAGCAGACAAATCACAGCCTAGGGGGTGTGTGTGTGTGTGTGTGTGTGTCCCTGCGTTTCTCAAATGCATAACCATAAACTAGGCTTAAGTGGAATACTTGATGCACCTACTTCGCACTAAATAGAAGGTGTTGACTGTCAAGTGTCACGCCGAGGTTCCTAGCAGTCACCGTCGGCGTTAACTTTGGCAACTCCGTGTTAACAGTCAGATCCTGGGGAGGAGAGTCTTTTCCCGGAAAGAGAAGTAGTTCAGTCTTGTCGGGGTTGATTTTCAGATGGTGGGCGGACATCCACTGAGAGATGTCAGTCAGACGGGCAGAGATCCGAGCCGCCACCTGAGTGTCCGATTGAGGGACGGACAAGTAGTTGGGTGTCATCGGCATGGCTGTGGTAGAAGCCTTGCGAGCGAATGACCGAGCAGAAAGAGTTGGTGTAGAGAGACAAGGAGAGGACCCAGGACGGAACCATGAGGGACTCCTCTCCAATTTACCCAGTATGTGCGTTTATGGCTGTGTTTCATTTATTAATCTGACAATATTTTCTTCCCTCAGATATTCTTTCTGGAGACGAGGACTTGGCGTCAGAGGGTCAGAGTGTACATTCAGGATGTGTGGAACATGTGTGACCTCATCACCATCGTGCTTTTCATCGTGGGAGTAATCTGCAGGTACACAGACTACACAGTGAGGACTGGATTACTGCAGAATTACACCAAAACCTTTCACATTTTTAAATCAACGTTCAGGGTTTCTCCTTTTTGGGGTTTCAAGGAACTTGTTTTAAAAAACTTTGCCGTTTTAACTCCTTAAATTCTCTTTTGAGAAACTGTGGTCATTTTTATGTTTGCCATTGAATGGTGCCCCTACCAGTAGTAATACATTAGTTCACCTTTTTTGTTTTTTTTAGGATGTTCACATGGTCATATGAATTGGGCCGGGATGCCATGTGTGTTGACTACATGGTCTTCACCGTCCGTCTCATTCACATCTTTGCCATTCACAAGCAGCTGGGACCAAAAATCATTATCGTTGGCAAGATGGTGAGAAACATTTCCATAAGTTGACATCAAACCAATGTTGCCTAGCAAGATGCAAAATAAAAAATGTTCCTCTCTTTAGATGAAGGACATCTTCTTCTTCCTTTTCTTCCTCATGGTGTGGCTCATGGCATACGGAGTAGCCAATCAGGCCCTGCTTTACTCCTACGACCCGAGCCTGGAGCGCATCTTACGCCATGTTTTCTACAGGCCGTACCTGCACATCTTTGGACAGATCCCCGTGGAAGAGATGGATGGTAGATGTGCATGTTTATTAGGTTGTGTGTCAACCAGAATTCCACTAGTTTGAAACTATTCAAACCAGAGAATAATCATCACAGTAGTCACTTTTTTTTCTTTCTTTGTCCGTCCCAGTTGGGAAGGAGTGGGACAGGCTCTGCACAGACAACATGACACTGATAGAGAGCGGTCAGGAGCCCTGCAGGACGCTGTATAGTAACTGGCTGGTGGTGATTCTGCTGGTTGTTTACCTGCTGGTCACCAACATCCTGCTCATCAACCTGCTCATCGCCATGTTTAGGTACGGATGTCTGTCAATCTGTTTCTAGTGAGCTTTGCTGACACTTCAGTTCTCTTCACTCTTTACGCTGCCTTCTTTGTGTCCACCCAGCTCCACCTTCTCTGAAGTGCAGGCTAACAGCGACATCTACTGGAAGTTCCAGCGCTACACGCTGGTAGTCCAGTACCACTCTCGTCCCTCCCTGGCTCCTCCTTTCATCATCCTCTCTCACATCAATCTCTTCATCAAAAGGGTCATCCGCAAAGTGCCCTCCATCAAGCTCCATCACTTTGGTCAGTATTTGAACATGATTCTGGGAACTGGGCATGGCTGTTTCATTGTGTCGTTGGACAAAATGTCCAGAACAAACTTGTGGTACCGTACAGCTGATGTGCATGAAATTCTTCCCCCCTCTATGAGAACTATCCCCTTGTTTTCTTTGCAGACTGTAAAGACGTCTGAGATGATGAACTGTACTTTAAAGCTCATTAACTGCAACACTGACAAAGCATTCCAGTAATGGAGCGAAAGTGTTGGCTGGCTGGACGGCTGAGTAGAATGAGAACAACGATTAAACCCTTTTACCTTTTCCATCAGTGTTGGAGTTGAAAGGGAAAGCCGCCAACAAGCTAAAGACGTGGGAAGCCATTCAGAAGGAGGACGTCTTGACGGCCCAGAACAAGATCCAGAGAAGCAGTGACTCAGAGAGGCTCAAACGGATGTCTGTCAAGTGAGGACGCTTTTTTACACCAACACTGCAGCTGTTTGAGTGTTCAATGTTTGCTGAGGTCAATATCTCCCTCATTGTTTTTTCCTTCAGAGTGGACGGTGTGTTTAAACATGTGACTGAAAGCAGAGACTTTGACCACAGGCTGAGGGCTTTGGAGAACGAGGTAAAACGAGTTGATCACTCTGAACATTTGTGTGGAAAAAAAAAAATACTCTCGTGAAGTCACTACGAACTTAATGTTAAAATATTTTTGGGCTCTTTTGACCTTGTCTCTCTCAGATGGAGTACTGCTCGAATGCTCTCAGCTGGATTGTTGATACGTTGGCACAAGGCAGCACTTTTAAACCTCCTCGTCGTCCTCCTCCATCAAGAGGTACAAACGAGAGCATCAAAGTCTCACAGAAACAACACACATGTTGGTGGCATGTTGGGATGTCAGAGCTCTCACTCTGTATTCTGCCTCTTCACAGATTTGTTCCCATCTTCTTCTAATTCCACCTGATCCAACCGCGTGGATGCGTTCACTCTCTCAGGACCAGTATGATCGTTTTCAATGCTTTTACTTGGCGGTTATGTTTTTACATAAAGTGTAGTAGCAATCACTTACAGTATTTGCAAAAACTTTCATTTGAGATTAGTTAGATTTAAATGCCAAAGTGTTTGTATTCATCATATAGCATGCTATATTTCATGGATTCTATTATAGTCAATCGTACGGGGTTTACATTGCTGTAGTTTTATGCTATATTACTGTTTTAAAACTTTGCGTACTGTTACGTCTGTAAATTTTAAGCCATTTATTTGTATTGACACATTACTTCATTCTGTTCAATAAATTACATATGCAGTATTTGTTTTAATGTTAATAAAATAACTCGTGGGAGACTAGAAAAGCGCTGCACAAGTCAATTTTAGGTCAAATACTAAATTCCTTTTCTGGTCGAGAGTTCGATTGTTGTGGGTGTCTTGATTAAAACAATGTCTGTTCACACTTTTAAGTTATTCTTAAATCTGTAATATATTTTTCCCGCTGGTCAGACTAATGTTATATTTGTAGGCCCCTGGGTATTTTCATAAGAGATAAACCCCCACATAATAAACTGAGTTTTGTGACCATTCCTCACTGCGCCTGAAGTCAATCCAGCCAATCATTAAATTAGGTAACGAGCTACAACTGCTGCTCAGATTAAACAAAGCGTATCTCCGCAGAGAGTAGAGGCAACTTTATGAAATTGTCAACTCATGGATGGATTCCCGCTTGTGTCAAGGAAACAACTTCTTTAATCATATCCTCATTCCATTGAGTCAATTCACTTACCGTCGATCAGCTTCTTCCTGTTTTGATAAAGGTACTTTGTGTTTGCTATGCATAAACTGGTGGGGTTTGGATAGATGTGTGAAGGCCAGGCAACCTGTTGTGAATTGAAATCTCTGACTGCATTGATTACAGATGACTCAATAAAGAATAGGTACCCACTTACACTTATCTCCTCTGCTTTTGATTTGCTGCAAGGTGCTACCATATTTCCTAAACTGGATCTACGTGATGGGTACCATATGGGAGGGGGATGAGTGGAAGACGACCATTAATACTACGAATCTCTCTCTGGTCATGCCATTTGGTCTTACTACCTGATGTTTTCCAGGGGTTGTGAATGATCTATGTTTGTGTTTTCGTCTTACCTGGGTGACATTTTGATTTTTTTCAGAGTCGACTCCCGAGCATGTGATACATGTACGGTTCTGAGTTCTGAAGAATACTTTTGGAGAACCACCTCTTGTGCATGTTCCACACCTCGGAGGTACTCTTTATGAGCTTCATCGTTGCGGACTGGCCTCCACCTTCCACATTCAAGGAACTCCAGTCCTGTGGCTGCCCCCCCCTGACCGCTCTCACCTCCCACCACGTCCCCTTTCAGTGGACATCCGCAAGGTCATTTCGTGAGTTAAAGGCACGAGCTGTTCCCCACCGAGAGAAATTACGACTCTGGATAAGTGGATACGCTGGCTGGAGGGAGCGGAGCAGTCGTTTATGGTCTGGATGGACCACACAAATCTAGAGGACATCCGCTCTGCTAAGAGGTTAAACTCTCGTCAAGCAAGGTTGGCTCTTTTTTTTTACATTTTTTTTAATTGTTTTGAATTTGGGCATTGACGGTAACACCGTTCTTGACAGCCATTGATCGATTCTCCAAATCTGCTCATCTATAAATTAAGGGTTAGGGTTTTGCCTTCTGCAAAAGGTGTTTTGCCTGCATGCTCTGCCCATTCATTATTGTGGGAAAAAACGTGTTCTGTGGTTTGTTGGTAGGTTGAGCGGTTTCCCATTAAGATAGGACTCCCCCATATTCATCGGACTATACAACCTCTTAACAGACGAAGCGTGTTTGCTATTTTACCACCCAGAGTCGACAGTGTGCTTAAACATATGACTGCTTTGGAGAACGGGGTAAAAACGAAAGTGTTTCGCTGAGTTCATTGCTTGATTGATTACATTTGTGTGTGGAAAAAAAATAGTAAAGCGCTTTCCTTTTAATGTCAAAATGTTTTTGGGCTCTTTTGACCTTGTCCTCAGATGGAATACTGCTCGAATGCTCTCAGCTGGATTGTTGATGCACAAGGCAGCACTTTCAAACCTCCTTGTCCTCCTCCCACATCAAGAGGTACACATGAGAGCATTAGCGTCGCCTCACAGAAACAACACAGATGTTGGTGGCATGTTGGGATGTCAGAGCTCTCATTCCGTATTCTGGCTTTTCTTCACAGGTTTGTTCCCATCTTCTAAATCCACCTGAACCAGCCGCGGTGATGCGTTCACTCGCTCCGAACGGTACAACCGCTTTTAAATGCTTCTACCTTTTGTGGCTCCGTTGCTACACACCCAACTATGTTCATCACTGCACTCAGTCACCAAATATTCTACCATCTATACTGAAAGTGTAGCAGCCGTCACTTGTTACAGTATTGATTGAATGCAAAAACCAATATTTGAAATGTGCCATTGATATTTAAATGCCAAAGTCAAGAGTTTGTATTCATCACATCGCATGCCATATTTTATGGATTCTCTTTGTCAATAGTATCCTGTCTTCAGTGCTGTAGTTCTAAGCTATATTACTTTTTTAATATGTTTGTGTTCTGGTCATTTTTGTAACATTCCGGAAGTAAACCGGAGGTTGACAGCGGAAACTAAGCGGCCGCTAGCTGCAGTCCGTTACATCAAGATGAAGAGAGCTTTCTGCATTGGGAGTGAAACGAACAGAGGCGCGACACACAGCGGAGAACTGAGCGTTTCTGCAAGTCGGCATTCTTAAAAACATTCTTAAAATACACTGCAAATTTTATTTCAAATCTTTTAACCTCCTTTTTTTTTATCCCTATAATGTTTTTTCTTTTATGCTTCAATTTATCAATGTTCTTAACTGTTTATAAATCTCCTCGTTTTCTGTGTGGATGTTTTAAATGGTTTTATGTGAAGCACTTTGAATTGCCTTGTTATTGAAATGTGCTCTACAAATAAAATTCCCTTGCCTAAAGCACTGCTATGCTAACCTCGCTGCTAGGATAAGCTAGCTGTTGAGTTGCCGCAACTTCACACATTTTGTTTGCCAATATGTGACAATACGGCCTTTAAGAGTACTAGTCTTAGTTATTGTTTAACTTATTATTATTATTTAACATACACGTGCAATAAGTGATACAATGGCTTCCCGTTTAAGTTCAGTTCATTAAAAACAAAATTGTAACACCGTTAATGGCCGTTAACCGAGATTAATGACTTTCAACATGTGCGATCGATTAATTAATATCTATGCCAGCCCTGGAATTAATGAATGAATTATCTAATTGTTAATCGGATAAAGCTTGGGAGACTAGATAAGTGCAATACGTTTCGGGTCAAACTCTACCCTCCTTGTCGAGAGTTAAACGCGAGTCTCTTGAGCCAGCAGAAGCTTAGCTTAGCACAAATACTGGAAACGGGTTCAGCAGTTAGCCTGCTGACTCTGGATGCATGTTGATTAGTGTTACTGCAGGAGAGCTGCCTCGAGCTTCTCATCTAACTGCAAGAAAGAGTGTACCTCCCAACAATGTTAAAATATTACTTTAGTAAGAAACCACCAGACCATGTAGCACGTGTAATCAACACGTGTAATCAACAAGAGACTCCCTGAGGGAACATGTGACTAAAACAAATGAGCAGAGCAGTCGGACGTACTGTGGAGCGAGGGCGGAGCGAGGGTGGAGCGAGGGTGGAGCGGGCAGTGTGACGGGTTTCCAGAGGCCTGCTGAAGGTCACATAGTGGAGCAAGGCTATTGAAGGAGCCTTTACTCTAAATAGCCGGGTGGGCCACCTGTCAATCGCAACAGAGGCTTAAAGTGAGCGTCATCACTTTCTGCCTCGCTGCGTGACCGCAGCATGTGCAAATATGTTCCCATGTGAGGGATCACGTGTCTCTGTTTGTCAGTCATTTTATTTCAAACGGTACTAATTGAACACATTGGCATAGCCTCAATTTATAAGCCACCATGAAAGGGTCTATCAACACTAATATTTCTATTCATTTGTATTCGATTTCCCCTCAGAGAGGCTTATATTCAAATGGGCGTGCGTACAGCAGAAGTTTAAATTTCTGTTTGTCATGTTTAAAAAAAGATCAAATTAAAGAAATGTGTATTGTTTATAACACCTTCCCCAAACTGATCGGGCTGAGAAGGAACATCGAGGATGTTGTTGAGTTTAGAGATCTGTTCTGGAATTACATTAAAACATGTAAAATATTTAAGAAAACTTGAAATAATATAAATCCTCAATAACACATGGAAGATTTTTTGCAAGAAAGGGCTTATTTTAGGAGCCAACTTCTCATGTACCGACAAACAAGTTTAATGAGATCGATTTAATGTCAGTAATTATTAAAAAGGGACTTCTCCCTCCTTCTCATTTCCATATGTTCTTTGACCTCCCTTTCACCCTCCCACCTGCCGTCCCCCGGCCCCCCGGCCATGAGCACGCACCCACCTCTCCAGCACACTGGGTTAAGGGCACCCGGAGCATTCTTCGCAGACATGTGCCCCTGTCACTCAAGCACACGCGGCGACACAACTTCCACCCTCGGCGTTGTGTTTGCACTGCGTCCTCTGCGTTCCCGGCACCCGGCTGGCTCTCTGCTCCCTCGGCCCCCGAGAACACGGCCCCCGTCTCAAAGAGCCCGAGTCACCTGCAGCTCTGTAACGATTCCTGCGGATTTTATTCTTTCAACTTGTTGAAAACCCATTGATGGTTTTTGCTTCTTCGGTGGCAGTAACGCGGTGGAGACAATCACCCGGTGCGGATTGGTTCTTCTGAAGAGGTCCTCAGTGGTGTCTTCCAAAATGGCTCCTCTGAAGATCTGGTTAGTGGGGCTGCTGCTGGTGCTCCTGCTCTCTGGAGGAGGTGCTCAGGACAAAGGCCTCCATGCTGAAGGTGTTGTGGAGGTTGTGGTTGAAGAGGGCGAAACCACTGATGGTGATGGGGGCGAGGAAGAGGAACGGGTAGCAGAGGAGGAAGATGATGAAGAGTCAGATGGGGAGGAGGACGACGAGGACGACGAGGAAGTGGAGGCTGCTGAGCAGGACGAAGAGGAGGAGACTGCTCCAGAGGAAATGGAGGAGGAGGAAGAGGCTGTTGAGGAAGAGGGTGAAGCTGCAGATGAGGAAGAGGCTGAAGAAGAGGAAGGCGATGAAGAAGGCGAGAATGCTGCAGATGAGGAAGAGGAGATAGACACTGAAGAAGAGGAAGACGATGAAGAAGAGAAGGCTGCAGATGAGGAAGAGGAGATAGACACTGAAGAAGAGGAAGACGATGAAGATGAGGATGCTGGAGATGAGGCAGAGAAGGAGGATGCTGAAGAAGAGGAAGATGAGGAAAAGGTCGAGGATATTGCAGAAGAGGAGGATACTGAAGAAGAGGAAGACAACGAAGAGGTTGAGGAGGCTGCGGATGAGGAAGAGGAGGATGACGCTGAAGAAGAACAGGCCGATGAAGCAGCAGCTGAGGAGGAAGAGGAGGCTTCTGAAGATGATGAGGCAACTGACGGAGTTGAGCTAGCCGACCAAGAGGAGGCCAATGATGAAAAGGAGGAAGAAGACGATGAAGAGGATGAGGAGGACAATGATGAAAAGGAAGGCGAGGAAGATGACGGTACACCCACTTATTTATTAATATATTGAGTTTATCAAAGAACTTGCAGCATGAAGTAAACACATTGTTTCCCAGCTCTTCTCCCAATGAGACGATCTGTCCGTTATCTGTCCATACACACATATATATACACATACATATATATATATATATATATATATATATATATATATATATATATATATATTTGCGTGTTCAGCTCGACACATAAAGTACAACGGCCGCTGATGGGTAATGTCACTGGTTTTGTTGCCACTGGTCGGGAAAGGAAGTGTTGGAGGAACTGAAATGTTAAACTTGCTGGTGTTGAAAAATGTAAATGTCCAAAATGCCACAACAAATGCAATCTTTTTTTTTCAGACCCACAGGCTTGATTTATACTTTTAAAAGTTTTTGTGGCTCTGAGCTTATAACTTGGTCAAAAGCTGCATTGAATAAAATGGCCGTGAGCGAGATCCTACACTGACTCATATTTTGCTCCTGGAGAGGAAAAGGATCAAATAGTTTGACTGAAAAAGCTTTGATGCTTTGACAAACTGACAGTCAGCTTATGTTGTTTAGGCCAAATTATCGCTGTAGCTCTAAATGTCCAATTAATCCTCGACTCCGTTCACTTTAGATGAGGCAGAAGACGGTGGCGACGTGGAGGACTCAAGCGAAGAGGAGCCCGCTACAGACGCTCTGCAATTCCGCTCTGGCTCTTTGTGTGGTGTTTGCTCCATCTGTGAGGTAAAAATGCACGAGTCCCTGTTTCTTGAATGATGATGAATAGACTTTATTTCAAATAAAAGTCTCCGATTTCTTTGAAAATAAGTGTCACCCGGCCTTACAGCTCTGCTCTCGTAACTGTGACGCATGTCCTTGTGAAGAGGGGGACGAGTCGGACCACTGTGACCACTGCCAAGTAAGCATCTGCATTGACGGCGTCTATATAATAAAGAATAAAGAAAATGTTTCGTTAGGACAAGAGCCCCCTGATATTAACCCTTTGACCCTTTCTAGGAATGCTCATCATGCTTCATTTGCCCAGTGTTGTGTGACACAATTTGCACAGCAGGTAAATACTGGTGGTCATTTATCATACAGGTCGTGCACCTTGTTTATGTACACATAATGTCAACTTTCGCCTTTTTCAAAAATTGTATTTATTGCTTTTTTCTTTTCAGGTGGCCTTGTTGATGAGCTAACTGGGAGCCTCTACCAGTAAGACTTCTCCCAACACGTGAACATTTAACAAAATGCTTCCATTAACAGCAGCAATGTGCCTTTCGTCTTTGTCCTGCAGGACTGTGGCCTCTCTGCTCTGAGCGTCCCGTAGACTGCGCCCTTTGGAGCCCCCCTGTGGCCGCGTGAGGTACTGCGCGGTGAAATAGCGCCGTCACGCGCAACACACGCGCGCTCCCGCAAGGGCCCGTCATGGATGTGACGTCTGACAGAAACGCACAAAAGGTTAGGTTAGGTCAGGTTTTAACTCGTGTTTAGATTTTTAACGTATCTTGTAACAGGAGCGGAAAAGTCTATTCGCTTTTCCTTTATTTAATTATAATAACTGGCCAAGGCCATTTGTAATTTGTTAAGATTCTTTTTTTTTTGTTTTTCGTGTAACTCAGCCCACTGATTCTTTTAAAGATTTAACACAATAACACTTTGTTCAATGTCCCCAAATCTCATCTGGTGATGCTGCAGCCAACATAAGATCAGGTTATCTCTGTCATGAATTCGCTTCCAACGAACTGCTTTTGCTAAGTTTACTTTTAGTTTTCTATTTCACATTGCTTACTGACTTCTACAGTAATACTATATTTATTTGTGTGCATTTGCTCATGATTGGAGTTCATTAAACAGCAGTTGAAATAACAATGATTTGGTAAATATTCCAGTAGAACATGACAGTTTTAACTGTGCATATAAAGTTTTACGCTTCACTCTGGGATTTACATTTCGTAAAGTCAGAATAACTCATGATAATATCATTATAAAATGGGGTTTAGACTCGTAGTCCCTAGTATGAATACTTACTATGAATACATTTTAGAATAGTAAAATGAAGTAACATGTATCACTGTTTCTTGAATAAATCATTTCTGTTCCCATTTACTTTTAATTTGTTCTTTAATCTGTAATATTCTTTTTCCCCCCCTAGTCCGACTAAGGTTATATTTGTAGGCCCCTCATAAGAGATATTTCCCCACATGTTAAACTTGCATTTCTGAGTTTTGTGACCATCCTGCAGCTGCTGCTCACATTCAACGAAGCGTATCTCAGACAGTAGAGGGAACTTCACGATATTGTCATCTCGTGGGTGAATTCCTGCTGGGAAGCTCCATGCTTCGCTTCCGCCTCGTATCAACAGGGAAACAGAAACAATTGTGTGCAGCTCACAGCTCAATCAACACAGAGACAAAACATTGTGCCTGGCGAGTGATGACCTTCTGATAGCATCGCGCTCATTCAGGTGACCGACTGCTGCGGCTTATCTGAGGCGATGGTGCCACTCATGTTTAACCTTCTAAACTCTCCAAGATTTGTCCACGAGTTCTGCTGTAAATGTCCCATGTGAGTGTTTCCCATCCATTCACCTGTATTCTACTTTAATATTATGGCCACTGCATCGGGTCAATCCACTGACCGTGTACCCGGCCAACAGCTCCTCTCTGTCGGGTCGTGTTCGGTAAGCGTGAGCGCGGGTGTGAAGAGCAGGAACCCGGTTGTGTGGGTGAATTTGTGCGTGTGCGCGCGCGCGTGTGTGGGTGTGTAAACACAGGAGACATCACAATAAACACTGACCTATAGGAGAAAAGTTTTCCCTGTCAAGAAGAAGTCACGTGTCAATGTTTTTATGTCAAACTACAGTCCTGAGGCACAAAGCACAGTCACAACCAAGTTCAATGTGTTCTTCGGACAATTTGGGAAATACAAACGTCAACTTTCTGGCCAAAAGTGAGACGAGTCGAATGATTCTTGGCTGTAAGGATTGATTTGTGAAACGCCGGCCTCTAAACGAGAGGTCGAGCTTAGCTGAGGTTGTTTTATAGACGCATTTAATCATACCAAAATAATCAACATGTGTGTATTTTTACACAGATGTAACACAATTTCTATTTCATGTTTAAATGTTTCAACCTGGACTTATGTTGCCTTGAATATTCGAGACGTCGAGCAGATGAAATTTAATCGTATGTTTAGTGATACAAATGGACCCAGCAAACTTTATATCTCACATTACGGCAGTATAATAGTCAACATTCCCGTCGGGTCAGGTTGCAGGTCACCTGTGAATTAAAAGCTCAGTCCGACCTTATTTTGCTGTCATGTTTAAAAAGGGTTGGAGTACAAAGGTTAGTATATCCTTTTATCTGGATAATGGAATTGTTCATTTGTGTTCCCTTGTAGGCGACGGCCACAAAAACAGGTGTCAAATATCCCTTCACATGGTTCAAATGGAGGATTTAAAGTTCCTCATCAAGTTAAGTCAAAATGAACCTTTTCATTTAAACTAAGGCCCTTTGAAAGGAAAAGTTACACAGTCATGCCCTCACATCAAGCCAGCTCTGTGTATGGAAACACGGGTGTTGCGTGACGTAAATATTTGTGTTTCGACCATGATGCCGTGAAAAGAGGCCCGCAGTCATGTTGCTTGTGTCCCCCATGCTGGTTTGTGTCCGTCCTACTACTAATTACTGACTTGAGGGATACTGGGACACTTCTTCTCCTCCTCCTCACTGATGAGCTGGTTTGGAAACGGACCCATTTCGAACGTGACATCTCATTCCAACTATTTTTTTCCCCCAATTTGCATGGACTTCAGGGCGGTGAGGTAAGGATGTTTATAAGACTTTCAATCAATTCATTGTAAGAATGTCATCCCTGTCTCCTCAAAGGTTTGTATTCTTGGAGATGGTGAATTTAAACATGGTCTCAGGTCAGTGATGGACGCTGTCACACGTGAACGACTCCATGTCCAGACCTAAGCCTGAAAAAAAGAAAAGCCAACTTTATTCCGGTTGATATTCTTTTTACAAGGTTGGACAGTTGGTCCAACCAGCAATGTTTCCTCTCTCGGATAACCACATTTCTTTCACATTGAGAAAAAGACGTCATGAAATGGCTGTAAAATCTATGCAAGACTTTGTTTTTTAACCAATTTCCTTTTCCTCCTAAAGATGCATCTTTACTCACTTGTGTCACTGCTGTTTCTGAGTTTGGGGGCTTTGGTAAAATGTGGTAAGTAAAAACCAATAATTTTCCACCAAATGGAAACATTTCTAATCAATAAACCAAAAATGTCCTTACGTCACATATCATTTTTGTGAGGATTATGGGCAACGTGCTTTTAAAAATCCTATTTAAGGTTGCTGAGTCAGGGCTTGCCGGTGGTGCTAACAGCGCTAACAGCGCTAACAGTGCTAACCACTGCATCCGCGCTGAGGAAGAGAAGCCGGTGTAACCGCGCTGACGGGTTGTACCTGTGGTGCGGAGCAACTTTTTGGTTACAACGCGCTTAGGGAAAGACATTTCTCCACCTTATCTCCACAGTGCATATTCATAATCCTAAATAATCGCTACGTTTGTGTTAATAATGGAAGTTCTTGGCCAATTGTTATAAAATCTGCATTTCATTTCAAGGATTTACACCAATGGAAGTTATACTTAAAGTATTGATGATTGAATGGCTGTGCCACCTTATTTAATGTTTAATAACCAGACGTGGATGCCGTGCGGTCATTTAGTTTAGTGGTTCCCGACAGAGGACCACTGGATGAACTGAGGATTCTCGACTTGTTCTCGACAATTCCCGTGTTCACGGCGCTTTGTGCATTTCTGTTTCAGCTGCTGCAAGTGATTGGTGCTACTCGGGCTGTTGTAAGTATACGGACAAGATGTGACTGAACCATTTGCATCAAACCACCCGCAGTGTACAACAGGTCACGGTATTTCACAGATCACAGCCCGGGTCAGTGGGCCGACCTCGGCCATCCCTGCGGAGGAAAGAGGCAGTCTCCTATTGACATCGTCACCGCCGAAGTTAAGACTGACCCTCACCTGCTTAACTTTACCTTCGTCAACTTCTCCTCTCCACGCGTCATCAAGTCCATCGTAAACGACGGCCAAACAGGTACACAACGTGAGACTGAGTACACAACGTTCTTTTTTTTTTACACGTCGTTCACTACACACTCCTCCTCGTCTTCAGTGAAATGCGTGTTGGAGAACAATGAAGTCGAAGTGAGTGAAGGTGGACTCAATGGAACATATTCTGCACTTGAGCTTCACTTTCGGTGGGGGGATGATGAGCACCATCCAGGGTCGGAGCACACGGTGGACGGGCACAGATATCCCATGGAGGTACGGCGCGCTGCATTCAACCAAAGGCCTTCGTTCTATAAACGGCACTGTTTTGACTCGTCGATCCGGGTTTTCTTTCACAGATGCACGTAGTCAGTCCGAAGAAAGGCTTCTCCGTGCAGAACGCCGCCAACGATTCGGAGGGAATTGCTATCCTGGCCTTTTTCATAAATGTATGTCCAATATTTCAAATCATCCTTCATTTGCACATTTAAGGACAGTTTAAGGAGTGTAATGTACGTCCCCTCCCTGAAGGCCAACGACAACGAAGAGACGTTGGGACCGTGGAGCGAGCTCACAGCCTACCTGACAAACGACAACGGTAGGAGTTTTACTGACTGTTGCAGCAGATGTCACTGTCTGCTCTGCTAGAGGCCAGCTTGTACCTCAATTCCGGCATCAAGAATCTAGATTTTAAAAACATCCAGACGTAAATATATCATAAACAAGACCATGGCATTCCACTGGTGGAGAAATTGTTCTTGCATTCATAAGCAACAGAACAGTGTAAATACTCAATGCAGATAACATCTCATCGATCGTCTGTTTAGACGTCTGTCTGTAGTAGCCGACTAACGTCTCAGCTATGTTCCGTACCAGACGTTGATTCACGTGACAGATGAATGGACAAATATTTTCTCTTAAAATATGAAAGGGCGGGTGAGAGAGAGAACTAGTTTGAGGACGCGTGGAGCTGAGCGTGTCCTCAGAGGACACACCTCGCATTCTAAAGTTGATCTGACGTTTTGCATTTTCTCTCTGAACCATAAAGATCAAAACAAGCTTAATACTTGATATATTTGCTCAACCACAAATCGTTTCATCAAGTCAACTGGAGTAAAAGCTGGATTTCTAGTGACTTCTCCTGATAATGTTTATCTTTTTTGTGTTAATAACATCAAATTAATGCTGGCTTTTTGGTGTGTCTCGTCCACAGGCACAGTTGCTATGAACCATAACATTTCTATCGACGACCTGATCGGAAATGTAGACCCCACCAAGTTCTATCGGTACATGGGCTCCCTGACCATCCCCGATTGCAGTGAATCCGTTGTTTGGACAGTCTTTCAGGATCCGATAAACGTCCACACAAGTCTAGTGAGTCAACCACGTTCAGTCTACTAATCCACTTCAGCACCGAGAGGAATTTAAGAGACTCCGATGCTTTGATGCAAACATGCACTTTGGTTGCGGAGAGATGCCAGATTAGTGGAGCTCCGGTTCCAACACACTTAAGTCAGTGGATAGCAAGGTCATTGATGTTTTATATTTATTGCAAATGAAAATCTGCGTCGGGCAAGGGTCCATTAGGTTGCAGGGTATAAGCATACATACATGCACCCTAACCCTAACCCTAACCCTGCGAGCGGTAAAGACGCCGGATCGGATTGACGGAATGATCCGTTGGCTCAAACTGAGAGTGGAAGACATCTGATGTAACTGACAGCCCGGACTGGTTTTCTGCTTTGTCAAGAACAATTTATTAATTGTTAGATCATGTACAGATTAAATAAAAGGAAGAGGGATAACACCTGAAATGTTAAACATGTGACCCCTGATTGCCATCTGGCGATCGTCACCGGAGGACACGGACATGTCGCAACATGGTGGTGTGCTTTTCAGAAAGAAAATCTTGTCGGATAAGAATTGTTTTAGTTCTGTTGAATCTGATAACAACCAAAAATACACTGTTGTTTAGTTGAATCACATGTTGCAAAATGACAAAGGACCCTTATCTGCATGACCGCAGTTAGCTCGGTGTGTCAGGTGCCCTGCAGGCGCATGACTATGACTATGATAGATAGTCTAAGTGATGAAGATGTCGCTTTGTTGGCGCAGGTTGGTGTTCAATAGGACAATATAGCCTTGACTTGACTAGAAGAAGTGATCTTCACCGACCTGTTTAACACCTCCTCTCTTGCCATACGCTGTCCCGGGGGGAACCAGGTCTCTCTGTGACTTTTTCACGGTTTCTTCCCTGAGTTTGAAGCTGGCGCTTTGAGCACAAACTATGGCACTTTGACTCACAGCAGAATCGGTGTCACTGAATCCCCTCAGGTACGGGGGGCGTCCACGCCGCCCGGCAGTCTGGCCTCACTGAGCGATGCTAAATCGTGGGAGAAACGCGTCCTGTGGTTCGTTCGCAGGTTGAGCGGTTTCCCGCGAAGACGGGACTCACCGATGTCCATCGGACAACACAAGCGCTTAACGGACGAAGCGTGTTCGCCTCCCCCGCTGTTTCACCACCCGGTGAGTTCACTCACTCTCACATAAGACCGGTGTTTTACGCCTGAGTTGACCCCCCCCCAAATATGACTTCCGTTCTTCAGGTCATTCATGGTGCCACGAGGAAGAAGCCTGCCGTACGTACAAATATTAAGACGCTCTCAACGGGGTTATGCTGTTGCAGGATTTAGGCGTAACCTTTTACTTTCCTCCCTGCCATCAGAGTACGGCCCGTCTCTCTGGCACACGATGCCGCACTCGTACTGCGGCGCCGAGCGCCAATCACCCGTCGACATCGAGGCGCAGGCCGCCGTCCCGGACGAGAGCCTCGGCGCCTTCTCTTTTACAAATTTTGACGACAAAAATGCCATCATGTACATCGTGAACACGGGCCACTCAGGTCGGTTCCCAAATGTCACGGGCCGTGTCCAACTCACAGATGTGCTTCTGTTAATGTGCCTCAACAAGGATTTGCATAACCATTTCAAAACGAGATTGACGCTTAAATTAACTGGAGTTTTTGAGGATTAGAGCTGCAACTATTTGATCTTGTTCAAAAGCAAAATAATGAATCGGCAGCACAATAAATGATATTTTTCAAGTCATACATCAGGCAAGGCGAGTTGATTTCTTAAGCATTAACAAGGCAATTCAGGGCTTAACACAAAACCATCAAAACATAAGGTTACAGAAAAGCACGTTTAAAAAATAAACCGATAAAGAAAATGATCAATTAAATTTCCCTATCATCTTTTAGTGAAGTGTGTGCTGAAAGATGACACGGTGGAGGTCTCAGGCGGAGGTTTGCAATACAACTACTCCACCCTTCAGTTCCACTTCCACTGGGGCTCAAGAGATACCAACGGCTCGGAGCACAAAGTGGATTCAAAGAGATACCCGATGGAGGTGATCACAAGCATTGCACCACTGCTCTAACAGACGCAGCTTCTACTCCTGCTTGTCCTCATTGTGTCTTTGTCCAGATGCACATAGTGAATAAGAGGAAGGATTTGACCCTGGATGAGGCACTAGAGACTCCAAACGGTCTGGCCGTGCTGGGATTCTTTATTGAGGTGACATTTAGTGCATTTGTACCCTTGTTATGGAGAAATTCAGTAGCTGGGAATCTTTTTGTATAATTCGTTACTTCTCCAGTGTGAACACACCATGCTGAACGTCTTGGAAAATTCATGGTGGTATTTAAATGCAAAATATGGCCTCAGACAAGACTAGTGGGGCAGGAAGTGGAGCAGAAAAGGCTGCTCTGAGATAGACGTTGTGCGTCTGCCTGCGTGTCTGTGCGCCCACAGATTTTGTCACTGTGATTCAATCACAAACCTACGTAGGTGTGTCGATGCAGAGACACAAACAGAGATATAAACAACTGGTAAATATCTGCGGCGCTTCTGCGGTATTCCCTGGTGACCCCTATCGCCACTCAAAGTAAAAGCAATACAATGCTGCTGAAAATCTCCTGAGTGCTTCATTCGCACGTGCAAACAACGTTTCCTATCAACACTGTGTGACATTTGTCCCTTAGGAAGCAAGAAAACTACAAACTCTAATGCAGTCACACAAGAAGAGAGGGAGTGGAAACACCTCTGTCACCCAACAATGTGATTTACTGAGGCATCAAACATCTGACACGCTCGCATCCTGTTGCGTTACATAAGTGCACCTGTTGTGTTTCTGCCGTGGGGTGAAATTGGAGGTTTAACGCTGAATATTTTCGTTGGGGAAACACCCTTTCTATTCCCCCCCCCCCCGGAAATTAACAAAAGAAAGTTGACAAAAGCTGTTTACACAACAGACTCACTTCTTTGTACTCTATTATTTTTTTCAGCCAAAGGCCGGCGACATCACGAGTTCAGAACAGGCAAGTGTTTAAAGGAGCACATTGTGTTACTTGTGTAGTACGAGGTTGACTCACCCTCATTTACCGTGTTGTCTTTGTAGACAAACGCCACGTCCGATATGGAGGTTTGGAGAAAACTAACCAGCTACGTATCAGCTGTGGAAAACATCAGTGAGTGAACACCTGTCTCGTCTGCATACATTTGGAGTCCGGTGTGGCCGTACAGCTTGTGCGTTTGGGCTCCCGTGCAGGCTCGGACTTCATGGATGAGATCTCCATCGACGACTTGCTCGGGGACGTTAACCGAGTGGAATACTACCGCTACGCCGGCTCCCTGACCACCCCTTCGTGTAATGAAGCGGTGGCTTGGACGGTCTTCAAAGAGTCCGTCAAGGTGGACAAAGACCTGGTAACTCAACATCTTACCAAAAAATAAAAATACACAAAATATACCAAACACATCAAACCATCTGCTGTGCGGACGTGAAGTGTCCCATTCTTTTATTTTATTTTACAAGGAGCAGTTGAGGAAGTTGACTTGTAATTCTAAGCGTGGTTTAATTCTTTAAAAGGGGTGTTTGGAGCTCTGGTACAGAGGAAAAAGCCCCATCGGGCTTTGGCCACAAAGGAGTTTGCAATATGAAAAGCGGCGTCTGTGAAGCTTCCCTGTCGATGCCTCTCCACATGCACACTGTGTTCTCTATTTTTGTGTTTTCCGTCTGGTGGATCATGGAAATAGAATAGAAAGGAAAATAGAGCGATAGAATATATGACGATACGTGTGCCTTTACTCCATGCAGCTCGATATCAACACTGCAGCTTTAAGTGACGCCGTAGTAATAAAGTAATAAAACTTGGCACTTGTTTCCTACTGCCGGTTCTCTGCGTCAGTACAATTCAGTTAACGTCATTGACTAATGATAGCGGCTAATCCCACAACCATCTAAAGTCATTACAGCGCCCCACCTTTTAGAGATCCCTAGATAAAAACAAGGCTTGCTGGGATTAAACCATTGTTGACTCTGACACGTTGATGCTTTGCTAGTTGCCGCTGATGGCGGCGACGTCGTTTCCTACTTGGCAAACATATTTCTTAACATTTAAATATACGGTGTAAAAAGATGTGTCACACGATGGATTTGGCATCAACAGGAAAGCTTTGCCACATGATTTGAATGTCATCTTTTCCATTCGATGCTCCCTTTGTGATGGACGTTTGCTCCTCTGTTCGTCCTTTCAACGACACATTTTCTGTGCACGAATGTGTTAGTCATCATAACAGGTTTTACCGCTGCACCTGCTTCACTGGAGCGAGGATTCTAGTTTCAACGGTAGTAATAAAAAGTAAAAAAGGACATCCCAAATGAGACTATAACTTCTCTCTTTTTGTTTTGGTTCGCCAGATGATGCTGTTTCCAGCTAATACAAATTACAGCAGCGTGTTTCGGCCTACGCAGCCTCTCCACGACAGGATAGTCTACACCACCGCAGCAGCGTCCAACGCCGCCGACCCCGCCGACCCCGCCGCGCCGCTGCTGCTGCTGCTGCTGCTCACGTGTCTCTGTGCCTGTTCACGCAGCGTACGCTTGTGAGCGACGAAGAGCCCACAGCACCTGCTGTGAAGACGTACAATGCGTCCGTCAGCGCTGTTTGCCGTCGGCTCGATGCATGTGAGAGAATGACCTCAGGCGTCATTCGGGATTTTCTTCAACATTCATTTTGAGAAGGCAGCTGTGTAATCTTATAAGCACGGTCACATCCGTAGAGCTGATCGGAATGTGGCAGGTACTCCTTGATTTAATCTTACCCTGATTTTCTTTGCGCAAAATTAGCAAGTGAACCTAAACCAACAATAATTAATACAAGACTATTGTCTATTATGCTAAACCAATAATCACCACTGCACAGACGCTGCAAAATGACAAAATATATATTATATATTGTTCTAATGAGCTTGAATAAGTGGGTAAATAAATTGTTGAACAGATAATGTTTGAGAGTGAAATTATTTCCCTCAATCATACGCAGCACGACTCTGCAAATACAAGAGAACTCTTAAGCTGAGTGTGGGTGAAGTTTTAGGGCCGTGTGTTTATTAAAAGAACATTAAAACCACATCGTTCAATGCAAATAGACAACCTGTTAGCACATCAAACAGCACCATAAGCCAGAGGTCTTCAACGCTTTTCAAGCCAAGGTCCCCCAAACTGATGGCGAGGTGGAGCAGGGACCCCCTATCCTACGGAGTGTGTGACGGATAACGTCTTCTCCATCAATTTATCCGCTCGCCTCAATACGTTGGATTCATGTTAATGTGTATTTAAAGACCATGAATAAAAGTCTGATTCTGATTCTGAAGACATTTACATTTGTGGGGGAAAAGATTGTTTAAAAAAATTGTCTCATCAACCAAATATGTTGCAACTCCCCCTGCAGTACCTCCGCGGACCCCCCTGTTGAAGACCTCTGCCTTAAGCAATCCTCTATGATCCGCTCCACTAATAAAGCAAGATAGGTGAGACACCAACCACCTATTGTTCATTCACTTTAAGGGCACGCCTTAATAAAATACCTTTTGATGTTCTTGCAATCAAATGGCAGAGCAGGCCACCTCGTCCAGAACACATTTCTTCCCCTACTTTTAGCGCCCAACGCGAGAGCAGCAACAAGTGAAATCAACAGCAAGTCAAAATTATTTTTCAAGGCGTTTCTGCTTAACTGTGTTCACTTGATTGGTAAAGGAATGCAAATAGCATGTCGTAAAGTCACCTGCTTTGAACTGAGGCAAATTGCAGGCAAAACTAAACAAGACTAGAACAGGTTAGACTGGGCCATAAGTGCTTTACCCTCCCAAAACGTGTATGTGGGATGCAAATAGTGTAAAAACAAAGTATGACTAACTAAATGTTCAAATTACAATGAGCACTTCACACTGTAGCAATTATAATTACGTACTGTGGAGGTAACAGAATAGGCGCGTTTACAAATGACTGTCGGTTGCAGATGCATTCGCCTCAATGTGAAAACTGATTAAAAACAGGCAGGTTCAACAGAAACTGCCCCCCCCAGAGAGACGGGGGTCGCTTCAGGACCAGTGGGGCTTTGAGGATTTTGGTTCAGTTCGTTCTCCACCCGATTTTGATCACCCCTCCTCCTAACCCTTGTGTGTTCCTTGTCCTCCTTTGAAAACCCACTTTTTACATTCAAATGTAGGTGTTTTCGAGGGATTCTGGGGCTCGCTAACAGATCCTTGCAGGGTAATGACAGATGATGACATCACGGTGCCACACTGACACAGTTTAAACTATCAAGGATATTTACAACAAGAGATTACAGAGGATTTACGGACAGTGACTGACAACAGCGTCAAGCTGAAAACGTTTACGTCGTCATGCCACGTGCCGCATCGGGACTCTTTTCAACTTTCCCGTTCGGAATTCCAGCTGTGTTTTCAACTGAAAAAATGTGTTTAATTAAGTTGCCGTGGACTTCTGTCCGTCGTTCCGTCAGACATCAAGGATTATTTATCTGGCCCTGATCTCTCTCTCTCTCTCTATCTCTCTCTATCTCCCCCCTCCCTGCTTCTCCTAAAGGTATTTTACACATTTGTCACATTCTTTGAACATGATGTTGCCACAAGACTGTGTCAGTAGTCCATACAAACATTCACGAGACGCCAAATTAGCTCATTTTAAGTGGTTTGACCAAATGACAAAGACGTTGGCGGTTTTAGTGAGGACCGCCTCCTTAGTAGAGTGTCGTATGAGGAAGTGTTTCTGTTCGGGCCTTGTTGGTTCATCTCAAGGAAACAGTGTTCCACAGTGTTCCACAGCGTAACACACCCAACACACAATTAACCACTGACACCAAAGCAGCCTGATCTCCAAAACCTGTTCGGAAAAATGTATACGAAAATCTTGAACATACAAATTTCGTAGTGATACATACGAAATAAATACGGACTGATGACGTCGCTCTGTTCAAAGTGAACGGGGACCTGCGCCCCGTAAACACACTTTGTCTAACCATGTAAAATAAACGTGTTATGATTGCATTTTTAACGAGAAATCAATGTTAACTTGTAAGAATAGAATACTAACCCTAACCCCCTCAAAAAATCCAAAAATCCAACATGGCGGAGAGACGTTCTCAAGACGACACTCAAGAATCCATGTTGTTCAAGATTTTCGGGTACATTTTTACAAACGGGTTTTGGAGATCACGTTGCACCTAAGACACTGATTGCTTCTAAAGTTCCTGTAAAGGAAGAGAAGGGTGTTCACTTTATATGTCACAGAACATTGTTTGGCAAGTCATGGGATTTCCCACCCTGTAAAATTGGGTGTGTAACCACATTAAAAAAAACCTTCCCGGAACTAAAGAGGCCCTGGACAACATTCAGGAACTTGCTCCTGCTTTTTAGCTTCATTACGAGCATTGTATTAAATAAATGCTAAAAGTATTTCATCTCAACAAAACAACCAGAAGATTTATCAATAACATAATAGGTCATCATAGCTGAACTCAATAACCGTCTAATATTGCAATGAATAATTGTGAGAAGACTTGCAATTTACTTAAAATTCCTACATGTCTAACCTGGATGTAAAGATGTAAAGATGTAAAGATGTTGATGATAATAATGATGGCACTTTAATCGCTCTTCAACAGAATGTCAGGTCCGCAGAGAGAATAATAGGCTGCAGCTTAAACCATCATCCAGACTCCAGTCGTTAACCCTTAGATGCACGAGTGACTGGACCCTACACTCTTCCATAAGTGGGTCAAAAATGACCCATATTAGAATCTATGTGTTTTTATGCCATTTTTTGTCATTTTGGTTAAGAATAATCACTAATATAATATTTAGTATTATATTTAGGACCACAGAAGAATGATTTCATGTCTGAACTGCATTCAGTGAAGTCTCATCACTGAATGCAGTTCAGACAAACTACCTGTTTCTGGCTGTGATCATTGCACACAGGTACATTGCATTTCCCACACCTATTGTTGACTTTGCGATCTTTGTTACTTGGGCAGATCTGACACCTCTTTCTCTTTGGTTGGCCCTGTCTGCTTCCTTCCTGTGGCTGGGTTGTGGCTTTTGTCACCCCACACCTTTCCATTGCTTCAAGAATTGGGTTTGCAGTTGGGGGCAGCCTTCCAGTCGACTCCTCATGTGTGGTGTGACAAGCTCCTTTGAGAGCTCTTTGAGGAAGAGCCGTCGTGCATTGAATTCTGGGTGCTGAGCCGTGAAAAAGGTGTAGGCATTCAGGGTGGCGATGTCAATTATGTTGTACCACAGCACCATGGGCCACCTCTGTGTTTGGCGCTTGCAGGTGTAGGTGCCAACCATCTGGTCAGTGGTGTCTACACCTCCTTTCGTCTTGTTGTAATATGTGATCACTACTGTTTTTTTCTTTCTGCTATTTTCATCCACTTCTTTGTCGTGGTGCATCGTGCTTGGGAGCACAACATCTTTTCCTTTATTTCTGACAAAGCTGACCATGGTAAGGCTGTCGTTGAATCCAAACTCTTTGCTGTGAACCTCCCTGGACTTGGAAGGCTTCATCAGAGGAGGGATGTCTGGCTTGTTCTGACGTAGAGTCCCCACAATAGTGGGATCCTTCTCCAGGAGATGCTGCGCAAGAGGCACACTGGTGAAAAAGTAATCCATGGTGATGTTGCGACTTGTGTTTCTAAATCTACTACACAACTGCTGGACAATGTTTTCCCCCAGATTCTTCTGAACTTCTTCCCCTGGTTGTCTCCCCGTGTAAACTATACCATCTATTGCATACGGGATGCGTGCATCACAAACCCAGAAGATCTTTAGGCCGTATTTGGCGGGCTTGCTTGGCATGTACTATAGAAATTTGCACCTACCCCTGAATGGCACAAGCTGTTCGAAAACAATCTTCCTGAGGGTTGACACTTCTGATATAGTCTGTGTGGTCCACAGTCAAATGTATTCCTGACAGCCACAGTTGATAAGAATCAAAGGTTCCCATTGGATTCCATAGAAAATGCATGCGGGTCATTTTTGACCCAATTATGGAAGCTTGGGGTAGTAATACAAAAACTAAAATTTCTTAAAATGTATAACAGGTAAGTTAAAAATGTAAATGGAATTATATCGAAAACATGTTTTTTGAGGAATACCTGGAATATGAAATGATAAAAAATTTTCATTACGAAGATATTTCAAGAAAACAACCTCATCGGGTCATTTTTGACCCACTTGTGCATCTAAGGGTTAAATGTTACTTACATCTGTTTTGGTTTCAAATGTCTACGGAAGCTGATTCTGATTCTGATTATCGGGATAAAAGCCTGCGTGCATTTTCTGTCACGGGGGTAAATTGTCGTGGTGGCGGTGTCAGAACTGATGGGCTGAGAGGATAAATAGAAGCTGAAGAAGACTGTGTTTGCAGACTGAGATTGAAGGTGCGTCAAAGGTAAGACTCGCTCCGCTGCGTCCAAAAGACCATTTGTGCACCACGTCTTCACTTATGACAGTAGCATTTATTTTAAAACACCGTATTTTGTGTAAACAGTTCTCTGCGTAATTGAGCCAGCTCTTATTTTTTTGAACGGACTAAATACATTTTATTGTGTATTTATTTGTAATGCAATTGATTTGTGCGCTTATTTTTTTTGGGGGGGGGGAATACACATTTGAGTGAATCTTTGTCTGTTTTATTCAGATGAATTGCCTTGGAACTCTCCTCACCCTGTGCGCCCTCGTGCCCAGCGCCCACTTTGCCAATAACGCAATCGGTACATTTAATTATTTTTTTTTATAAATCCATCATTATTATTTTTTTCACTGCCTGTTTGTCTTTTTGTAGATTGACTAACACGTGTTTCCCCCCCTCCAGCCTGGTGTTATCACCTGCCAACCTGCAGTAAGTAATCTCCATTTATCTCAAACCGGCCCCATTAAACACCCGCTGCTTCTCTCCAGCTCACAAACACCTGGTTCCCGTTTGCAGATGACTCCACCTGGCCGACCATTGCCACCATCTCTTGCAATGGCAGCCGACAGTCGCCGATTAACATCGTCTCAGGATCCGCCCAAATTGACCCCAATCTGAACGCATTCACCTTCAGTAACTTCGACAGCCCCCTCGCCATGGACACCATCACCAACACCGGCAAGACGGGTGAGCGCTGCGTCCGGGCGCAAATGACTTTTTTTTACCGAATGGTTATTCGGTTGTGACTGCAAGGATGCGTTTGGAAATGCAATTTTTTCTTCTTCCTCTCGTCATGTTCCAGTCAAAGTCAACTTCGTCCGCGGTATCAGTATTTCGGGAGGAGCTCTGTCCGAGAACTACGACAGCCTTCAGTTTCACCTGCACTGGGGTCGCGGTGCGTCCGTGCCGGGCTCCGAGCACACGGTGGACGGCAGGCGGTATCCCATGGAGGTACAGCGCGCGGTGCCCTTCTCGGCTTCAGCCTGGAGTTGGTTTTCATGTCTCCCACTAACTTGATGTGTTTTTTTTTTATTTGTTCTTGACGTCACTCCCACAGCTTCACATTGTAAACAGCAAGTCATCCTATAAGCGCAACACAACTCTAGCTGTTGCAGATTCCACAGGACTCGCTGCTCTTGGTTTCATGATTGAGGTGAGAAAATACTCTTTCATCTTTTTTTTTTATAACGGCAATATGCTTAAGCTATGTCACACATTCAGTTTCTGAAGTGATACCGCTTACACTGCAGAACCCCCCACAAAGCCTTTACTCCTCTGTGGAGCCTGGTGGCGGAAAAAACAATTGAGGCTGATTTAATGTGCACACTTTTCAGGAAATGGGAGGCGATGCCACTGGCCAACCTGCAAGTTGGCAAACTTTGAGCTCCTACCTTGCCCAAATCCCAAATAGTGGTAAGGAGAGTGTAGATTTATTTGCAGGGAATTTGATCCATTGTATTTGGGTAAAATGGTCTCTGCAGTGATGTGTTTTTTTTTCTGCACTCAGGCGACAAAGTATTGATGCAACCTGGAGTTTCCCTGACTGATCTCCTCCCCGGGGTTGATATCACCAGGTACTACCGCTACCTTGGCTCCTTGACAACGCCCTCCTGCAACGAGGCTGTGGTTTGGTCAGTATTCAAGGACACCATCAAAGTCAGCAGAGACGTGGTGAGTCACAAGTACAATGGCAGGGCCAATCGGCACAAACGCCCCAATGGCGCTTCATGTACCTCTAACTGGCTTCATGCCTTGTTTTCCAGATTGACCGCTTCAGCACTATGCTCCGCGTCTCCAACAGCACATCGCCTCTCATCGTTGATAACTACAGAAACCTCCAGCCAGCCTTACGGGTCACAACGCAGCTTGCCAGCTCCACCAGCTCGGCCTCCAGAACCTGCTACTCCCTGGGGCTGATGTTCCTGAGCGTTCTTCTGGGGAGGACTTAAAGAGCTGTCAAACGCCGTGGTGTCTTACCAGTTTATGGAGTTGCACGTAAACCGGCTTTGCATCCAGGGTGCGCGCTCTTCACCTCATGAAGTCAATGACGTCACAACACTACAGGCGGGTGCCTGAGAAAGGGTTGCATTGCACTGAGTTTACAGGGGAGATGTCGTAAAGCTCCAGCAACGTAATCTGTGAGATATTAGTTTCTTCTAAATCAGCCAACATGAGTTGGTAGCAATAATTTCTTAACAAATAGGATTTCATTCATAGTTTTTCAACATTCTTTTGTAGCGTAAACGTATGTGCCTAAACCTTGTGTTCATTAGCGCGATTGTAACGTGGGCACATTGCCAACAGAACTTATGAAATAGCTTTAGACATTTGGTTTAGTTAAATACTGATTTCACTCAGCTTAACGATTACCATTATTTAAGACCAATGTATATATATATATATATATTACACAGGTGTCTTTCACGCCAAAGATACCACTTAAAAATGATTTAACTATGCTTCCATATAAATGACGTCTGGGAGGGTGTGCTTTTAACTTTGTCTACCTGAGTCACAATACCTGAGTTACTTACAGTTGAACTTGACTCTCACTTGAAGAATGTAAAAATATTCCTGAGCAAACTTTCTTGAATGTGCTTTAATAAAAGATTCAATGGTTGATTACGTGTATCGTTGTTGAAGTATTGTTGTAAAGTAAAGACAAAGTCCTTTCACGCACAATTTTTCAGATCAGTGTGACCTTCAAAGGAGAGCTACTACTAAAGAACAGAAACAATGTACACACGTATATTTACCAAACTCCAACATCAGAGTGGCTTTTCCCTCCTATCAAGCTTTCGACAGGCAAAGAAAATATGCGAGGAACAATAGACACTCATTCATCAGGCAAAATGACATTTTTATTGCCGCGGTTTTCCTCCACTTTATTTCCACACGCTTTAACTGTTGGACTTGAAGGCACTGAGATGTGTATTTGAGAGAGGGCTTCCTATTGGAGACCATTGGTCAACAGGACCATCCGCGTATAGAACCATCGCTGGAGAATGTTCAGAACAGGCTCTAGTCCACGTCTACGTGTCGTGCATGTGTAGAAGCGTGCGCTGCAGCATGAAGTCCGTGCGCAGCAACAGCTCCGTCATGCATGATAACATCGGTCTCATTGTCAACGACTTTTATTCCTGATGGATTCAAAATGATTCACAAGTACAATGCTTATCAGAAAATATAGAAATGATAGTAAAGTTTGATTTACCATATTATTCTGATTAGATTCATATGCAAATACAAATATTAAAAAATGAGCTTTAATAAAGAAACTGACTATTGCAATTCAGTACATTTGAGTGGCAATTTACTGTCCAAACACAAGGTGGTTTTGTAAGACCTCATTATGACGTTTGGGATTGCTGTGTGAATTTACATGCATTCTGCTTCACAGGCTCAATGTAACACAACACTTTAAAAAGGAGGGGGGGGGGGGGTATTCTGTGGCAGGACAGAGGGAGGAAACAAAAGGTGAAGAGGCAAGATTTCGCCCGCAGTGCAACAAGGAATGTAATAAAATAATTTAAAAAACAGTCGGCAGCCACACTTATTTTCTAATTAATTCATGAACGACCAACATGAATGAGATCAGCAGGAGCCGGCTGCTTCTTATGAAGGAAGATGATCCCTTCAGGTCACAGGTGCACTCCTTCGGGCTCCGAGGAGCGGAGGTGGCAGGAGGAGCCGGACATCTGAGCCAGTCTACTGCGATGGATTTGGGAGTGACAACCTCCTGGTTCAGCCCTCCGCTCTTCAGAACCCAGTAGAGGTTGTCCTTGAAGAAGTAGGCATCTCCTAAAGGGCAGCAACAGCAGCAGTGTGACACTCAATCCCCTTTGTTCGCATTACACAATGAAAAAAATATCAGCCCGCATCTACAACATCGACAATACTAGTTGTCACAAACTCTACAGGGTCCCTTTGAGCACAGAATACATCTCCCACACCGCACAAACTGTAACAAAATATTTATAATCCAAATAATACAATGACGTACATCCAATAGTGATCCATAATGTCTCATTTTGACTGATTTGTTTTTTTTTCATTCTCTTAACACTTCCTACATTCCACACTGAAATGTAAAACCCCCTAAAAGGTATTGACTTCAGCGCATGAGGAAGAAAACGCCCGCTTGTGTATTCCTCTGAACACCATGTTACCTTCTCCCCAGCTGATGATGTCATCCATGTGGCTTGGCACTCCTCCCCAGAGGGTGTTGTTCTTCGGGTAGCCCGGCTCCAGCTGCCTGGTCACACGTTGGCCACTAAGGCTCTCGTCGAACCTCCAAAACCTCCCGCCGCTGAACAGGTAGGTCTTGCCGTTGTGGGCCCAGATGAAGGCGGCCTCCACCGTGACCACCGGCGCCCCGCTCTCTGTCCTCATGCCCCACTCGGAGATGGGCCGAGGGTAGCCGATCATGGCCATTGTGTCCTTGAAGACCCAGTACTGAGATCCTGAACGGGCAAAGGAAACAAATCTGAATGTCTGCTGCAAATTAAACTCAAAGAGTTTATAGTTTTTAACATTTAAATGTGACGTTGGTGTTGCAATGCAGTTTTCTTTAGGAGTCCTGCTGTTGCTTTCCTTTAACGGGTGCAAACATTTCTCCCTCGGTCAAAGCTACTGCCTAAAAATAAACTCAACTAAATGCGTGGGAAAAGTCAACAATGTTTAGACCTTCTGCTCCGACTCCGCCTCTGACCAGAATGAGAACGAACCAGAACAAAGGATTTGGCCTCTCACCAATAAAGAAGATGATCCTGCTGTCACTCTTTCTCTCGTACACCGCGTCGATCTTATTCGTTCCTGACGGCAGGCCGATCCAGAAGTTCTTGATCTCAGCCCGTTTGAAGGACACCAATAACCCGTCTCGCGTGGTTCTCCAGAAGTGTGCACCTTTGCAAGAAACGAGGGGAACATGGAACATGTGCCAGGCTGACGTAAAATGCTGAAGGATTTCAGTCTATCTAAGATAAATGATGCAAACATCACTTCTAAGTCATTTATCGGTTTCGGTTTCTTCTCACCCTTAAAAAAGAACACCTCTCCCCTGATATTTGCCACGGCATCAAAGCCTCCCTGACAGCGCTCCTCAAATGGCGGGTCCCAACTTGGACAGAAAAGGTTTGTTGAAATGATGTCTTGTGTGATCTTGTAGTTCAACACAAGAATCACCAGAGAGCGCAAAGAGACCAAACACGGTCACAGGTAGACTCGCAGGATCGGAAGGCGGTACTCACGGCTGTGTTGGTCTGGGGGGAGGCGGACTGGGCAGGCGAGGGAGGTTAGGGTCAACACCTCCTGGTGGTCCGCCGTCATTCACACCTACAAAAGAGCGGTGACAGAAGGCGGCGTCGAAGAGGCGGTGAGCGTCGATGACACCGCTGCAGACATTGTTCCTGTCAGCAACCTTGACGCTCACACACTGCTTTCTTTTTTAAGACACAGACGAAAACTGCTGGAATCCGGTACGTGTGCGTGCACCTTGCACACAATATTACCAGGCAGGAGGGGGTTTCTGGCCTCCTGTTTGTGACTTAGAGTGTAATCTATCTTCACATTAACATTGAGAAAAAACATCAACTTATAGTCCATTGTCTGCATTTCAGTCAAACTCTGCCTACCACAAACCACCGACGGCGATTGTTTACTGACTTCCACACCACAATAAATCAAGGAATATGAAAATAATGAGCACGACAAAAGGCCAAAGTACAACTGGCGGAATCATCTCAGCTATGGATTGATGGAAAACCTGGTTCAGATATAAAGGTGCCTTCAAAGACGCAGCAGACTGACCTTGTTGGTCCCCTGACAACTAATGACATCCGCCCTATAGCCGCTATTTCTGTTTAATGCTAATTTAGCATGCTCACAGGCTAACCTATGTTTGAGAATACGCTAAACAAACATGATTGTGTTCAAATCATTGTTGCAAATCAAACTAATTGTGTCCTTGCTTCCCAGCATTTGATGAACTTGCAAACCTACATTTGACTCCTTACTCTTTTCATAACTGCGTGTTTGATACATTTCATGTCAGTGACAGTACAAAATAACTAAAAAACATATACTAAAGCCCCCTCCTGTATGTCTTCAGGAACACCACATATCCACACACACTGATACTGGATCCACATTGCCATCAGGCCAACTGGTTACGGACCATAAAGCTGCTGGATGGCCATCAGGTCGTCCTGGGCCAGCTGGAAGGTTTGGATGTCTCCCACAGGACCCTGGTAGTAGGGCCTCATGATGGACGGATCGGACGAGGAATGGGACAGGCCCAGCGAGTGCCCGAACTCGTGCACGGCGACTGTGAACAGGTCTGTGCTGCGGCCGCTGTTATCTGAGGGTGTGTGAACAAACTGTGTTACTGGATCACACAGACAGACCGATTCGGGAGCATGATGTCACCGAATAAGCAAACGTCTTTTTCCTCTTGTGTCGTTATTCTCTGTTTGATTACGATAGATTCGTTATCGGTGAACAGATTGTCAAATACATTCCGCCACTCATCGGTCGGTACCTCCGTAGCTCCAGATCTCATCGTCATCAAAGTGTGCGTCACCCGACACTTCCTGACCGCCGGGGAAGAAGGCGTGCGCCAGGGTGCCCCCCTGCCCGTCAAAAGGGTACCCGTCGTCGTGAAGCGAGCGGGCAAAATTCACTCTGATGTCCCCTCCGGATCCCGCCCCGCGGACGCCGCTCTCCAGCCGGCGGAATGTCAACGCGGTCTTGGCGCTCCAGGCTTTGAAGGCATGCACCAGGATGTTGTCCACCAGATTGCTGGACATGCCGGGTGAGAGGGACGGCGAAGGGTAGCCGTGGACACTGCGGACACGATGGACGATGTGTTGTTTTGTTTAGGCTCTGAATCTGTTTGCATTTGAATTCATTCATGGAGATTTTTTCCTATTGCACCACAGCTAAAAACACAGGGCGGTATTGTTGGCTCAAAACCGTTGAATTACGAAATGGCATCGGCTGTAATGTTCCTTCCTAGTTTTTTTCACGTGTGAACAACACGTCGTGTGGCCCTCAAATGTCTTGTTGCTGCACTCAAATTGCGCAAACACACAGGAAGGAAAACACATGTCAGTTGTGGATGACTCAAAAAGCTCTGTGATTCATAGGCGATGACATGAAGCCACAATGTGACAGGAAACACACCTCCATGTGAGCTCTGTCTTGTGCCACTTAAGGCCTGACAGGGCGTATCTTCTCCTCCTCCTTCTCCTTTTCAACATGTCCTCGGTCCCGACAATATCCGGGAGGGAGCATCGAGGCGTGGACATGAGTTTCAGCGTTTGGGCGTCTGGAGGAGAAATGTATCACACATGGTGAAAACAAAAGGGGGCGATTATACGCCCTGATATGTGAAATATCCTCTACACTTGAGACACGTTGTCCTGAAAGATCAACGTTTGGAGGGTCGTTACCCAGAATGCCGCTTTCCTGGACCCCGCCAAATCTCTGCATGAGACGGATGGCTTTCTCGATCCCCTCTTTGGTCTGCAGGCGGCTTGTGCGCGGGTCAGGAGAAGGCAGGTAGCCATATCTGCTCAGCCAATCCTGCACAGAAACCCAAAACAAGTTTGTTCATGTTTCACTTTTTGGAAAAAACGAATGTGTCGGCCTTTTGGAGAAGAAAAAAGAAATCTGCAGGTGAAATCAAGGGCAAAGCTGGTGTGAAATGTTTAATACTGACAATGAATCTCGATCAAAAGAGGTTTGTCGGTTAAAGTGAAACCCGCCCTTCCTCTTCAGCCTGCTGCCGGTTTGGCGGTTAAAATTTCAGTGGGTTTTACACTGAAAAACATTTCCACCACAAGTCGTTAAATTTACTCAGTATTTTCATTTCCACAAAAATTGTTTTCAGCTAGTTCTGCTGTTTTATTTCACTTCAATAAGTCCGGTGGACTTTCTAAAAGTTGCAGGATTCCGCCTGAAGGTCTTTTCTGCTCCCCTCACATTTTAATTTCAAAGCACCAGCAGCATCACAGACATGTTGACTATTATTTGACATAAGTGAAACTTTACTTTTTTATCACACATTACTTTTACATTCAAAGTTGCGCAAAAATAATATTTTTGTATGTTGTTTTTGAGGAAGTGTTTGAGTTAACCAGTAAAAGGAAGCTTGCAGTTTTCTCATTGCCTTTTGTGATTTAAATGATAGAAAATAATGTCTCCCTGGAATCGACTCATTGTAATATCTTCAACGCAGTGTTCGTAATCAGTTTGCTGAACAAATGACCATGAACGCTTGGGAATTTTTTATACCAAATGTATTCTTATTCATATGGAGAATGCTGAACCAGCTTCTGTGCCACACATCCTCATGACAGCCTCATCATGATGATGCAAACATAAACCCTGCAGATATTCCAAATGAAATATACTATTGAATGTTTCCCACAAACCAGCTGATGGTTTGATATTTGAATAACTTCCATTACAAGCCTATGAAGTATATATTTGACTTTGTATACACATGAATATATATATATATTTTTACGTCCCTTTTAAATACGCATAATAAACTCACCACCGCTCTGTACTGCTCGGGCTGCGCTGATGTGATTCCCGTTAAGGTCAAAAGCATCAACAGCATTCGACCCGACTCCATCCCCCTCCTGTAGGAAAAAACATCTGTTATCTATGTCTCTTTTTTTCTATATTGGCAGAAAACAGAGACAACTCTAATCCGATGGCACCAGCTTCGCTGCAAAGAAAGCTCACCGTTGTTCGTGCTTCCGTCTGTCTCTTGGGACTAGGCTGGGCTGATCGATCATTAGTTGGCTCTCTCAGGCTCTGCCTGCACCCCCCCCCCCCCCCCCCCACTTCCCTTACGCCCCATCCTCCCCCTCCTCCTCTACTTCTCTACTCCTCTACTCTACTTCTGTTTACTGCGGTACTTTTCAATCTCTAAATTAAATCAATTTAAAAGAGAATGTGCTTCTAAATACTAATATGCTGAATCAATGCAGGATGCCTGTAATCGAGTAATTGTGTGTTTCCGCTACTAAAAAAAATGGTAAGCCATTTATTTTTGTTCACAACAACGTAGAGAAGATGCCGATGAACTATTTAAATGACACTTAAATAAATTAAATAGATTACAAATCTCATGCATGTGTCTCTTTCCTGATTTGCTGCAATTCTCTTCCTGTCCGCCAGATGGCGTCTGACTTTTTCTCCGACCACATGACTCCCGAATCCTGTTCACCTGTGCCCACTTTCTCTCATCACACCTGAGGATTATGTTGAAATCAAATCAAATTAAAATGCAATTAATACAACTTCAGAAAATGTCTTATTTCCTTTTTTAGCTATTTGAATATTACCTCATAAACTCTTAAAATAAAATTAGTTTCCTGAACAATCCATAAACAATTATATATACCAATAATATACAAATATATACCGGATGTACCATCACGGGAAAAAACGGTCAATAATAGTAGCTGAAATTTTTCTTTTGCTGTTTTGTCAATGTTATTCCAAACAAAAAACTGGCAATACATTTACGGGCAACTTGATGACGCTGCGTTGAGCTGGAGTTCACCGCCATCTCCCATCTCTTCTTAGCGTCCCATTACGTCCATGAGAGTGTGCGGCCCTCCTCTCTGCAGAGCATCTGGTGTCATCTTTCCCTCTTCCTCCTTTCCCGTCTTTAATTTCTGTCCATCCTCCGGGGGCCACGTGACTCATGCCATTAGCACAAAATGCTGCCGTGCTAATGGTTGGCCAGTATACGCGCCATGTCCGCTTCGCAACCCCCCCCCCCTCTGTGGAATGGTTTGGATTTTACTTGTAAATCCTGGATAATTTCCCCCATTCCAATCCAAGCCCAGAGTACATCATCTAAAGGCTCCATCGTGAGCAACATTTTCGTTTACTGCTATTTTACAAGAACTGAATATCGTATGCTTGTATTGACTAATATTCGGCCACCGGGGGGCGGCTGAAACCAGTTGGGTAAAAAAAAAGGACATGTCAGCAGCGTCCGTGTCAGTAGGGCAAACACTGGTTTGTTTAAACATTCAGCAGACAAGGAGAAACATTAACTTCTTTTTACTGACTCCACAGCTTTTTAAATGCTTCACTATGTCCCACAGATGGTCGCTGACTGTCGTTCGGGTTTGGTGGGGGAGGAGGGGGGGGGGGGGGGGGCCCCGGGACCTTGAGCCCATTTGTAAAAAAAAACAAAACCAAAAGAGCAGCTTGATAAAAAATAAAAAATGGGCCTTCTGACCGTTCAGCCCGGCCTCACTTACACCATCAAATCCCCACAGCGTCCCAACGGCGGCTTTCACTGCCAGTGTTTTCCCATCCGCTCGCTACGGGCTGAGAGCGAGCGACGCAGTGCAGGCGGTGAGATGGCCCTTAAAGACCAGCGCGAGGTGGATCAAACAAAGGAGGCGGCTGTTTTGAAGCTGATGTTGACGCTTTGGGATGGTAGCCATTACGCCGTCGGTCACGTGACGCACAGGGTAGAAATCAAAGTACAGTGTAAACACTCTGTGGACAATAGGGAGGTTTCTGGGGCACTAAAATGCTGTTTAGAGGTGAGAGGATCTGCATGGTCGGGTGGGGGGGGGGTAAATGCACACATCAACCTTTCAAAACTGGAAACACACATCCAAAATAAAACGCCCCTGAATACATTTTCATTCCACAAGGTTTTATTTTCATTAAAGGGATCCAAGGCCTTCACAAAAGGGTTGACTCTTGGTGACCGCACGGTACTAACACAACACACGACGACAACAGAAACGACACAGAGGACTTGTGTGAACGAGTGAAAAGACAAATAAATAAGAGTTGAAAGACATTTCCTATTAGATTAAAACTGAGATGCATCAACAAAACCAATAGAGGACAGTGAGCAGAGGGTGAAACCTGAAGTACGGTAATAATATACTCAACTCACTTCTGCAAGAAACCGATTGTCTGCAGCGGCTTATTTTTGGTCATGCGCATTTGATGATGTCATTGCTATTGTTTTGGCTGCGTTGTAGTGATTTCCCTTTTTTTTTATTTTTTATTTTTAAATCTCCTTTACCCCCCCAGCTTTGATTGTCGCGCTCTGACGTGTTTGAAGGCCGCCTCTTCGTTTGCTGTGGAACGATTCCTGATTGTCTGCTGCTGTTCGTTTGTGATGTACAAAAAAAAAAAAAACTCCCTGTCAATCAAAGGTATTTCCCACTGCTGAACCTGCGATGGAACTGCTTCTGTTTTTAGATCGATCAGGTATATATATATATATATATATATATATATATATATATATATATATATATATACCCTGTATATATAACACAAAGGGAAATGACATTCCCAAGTCCCTTAGGGAACCTGTAAATGTATCATATCGTTGTGTTCGTATTGTTTTTGTGCTCGAGGATCATTTAAGTCCCCAACGAACATTTTCCCCTCCAATAACATCTGACAATGTTCCACAGTTATCTTCCTCACACACAGGTTGTCTGTACAAAAATATGCAGTCTTGGCGTATTAATGCTGGGTAGGCGGGATTTAAGTGTTTAGGTCTTAGTAAAAGTGATTGCCGTTAGCAAGTCAAAAGTCTTCAAAGTATTCTCACACAGTTTGTGTATATGGAACAAACTCGCTATCACAACATCACCGACCTGCTCAAGTAACGAGAAACTGTGGCTACACTTTACAATACAGACTTCTGCTGGCATTTGCTTAGCACATCTCTACAGTGTTCATCTCTATGTGGTGGGATAATAAACATAATCCGCTCATTATTTGATTAAAAACATAATCCTACCATATTATTCATCATGTATGAAAAAGAAATAACCAACTGTTTTGAAATTCAAGGCATATCTTATTATTATTTAATGGATTTGGGAGAAGTTTATAGGCTGAAAGTTTGTAATAATGTCAGCTCGGATACAATTTATTTCAACATGTAACTAAATACTGTAAACTCAAAAGTACACTTTTCAACGCTCGTTTCAACGCTCCTATATATTTTTTTGCATTTGACTTTACTTTTTTAGTAAAGAAAAAGACAAAATGTAAGAAAATAAAGAAGAATTGATAATCCTAAACCATCTGGTGATGGAACACATGTTGCATCTCCGCAGACAATGTAACCGTGACTTAAATTTAAGCCTCATCCTAATCCGGATATTATTACACACTTACACACACCTCACACTGATCCTATTTCTAATCCCGGGCTCAGCCTTATGAATAACACACCATCCAAACAGAAGAAAGTGCAACCTGAAACCACCAAGCAAACACCAGTGTGACCAGTAAGTACTGTCGAGTGCAACCAAAGCGGCTCTTGTTGGAATTTGTAAACATTTAATGCATTTCAGGGTCTGCAACTTGTTGAGGCCCAATACAGCTCAGTCCTGTGCTTCCCTAAAACCCGTGTCATCCCCATCACTTTTTTTTTTTTGTTACATGCCCCCTTTTTGGAGGGTTGGAAGGGGGTGGGGGGGGGCAGCCATTGTCTGTTGTTCACTGTAACCTGGCCCAGTACTGACCCAGGTTGTGACTCATGCTCTGCTGATCCGTTCCCGGCACCTGGACCGGCACTGAAACACCGGGCGATATGAGCCCTGAATGGAAGAGAGGCACAGGGGAAGAAGGCGATGCGGTCACTCAGTCTGTGGCGCGACCAAACCGCGTTTAACCAGCCGAAATACTCACCGGTGTTGGAGTTGGCCGAGGACGGAGTCTGCAGGTGAGGGGAAGAGTACGCCGATGAGTCAAAGCTGCGCGGGGCAGACGGGGATGGAGGTAGCATGCAGGAGTAGGAGGAGGCCGACTGGGGGGGAATGGACTGAGAGAGAGTGGAGGAGAAAGATTTGGGTTAGATGAATATTAAAACCTGTAGTGGCAGTTTGAAGTGAGTTTCGGGTTACATGGGAGTGCTGCGGTGGTGTCGTGTGGTGGGAGGAAACAGCTCTTATGCTTTGCATGCAAAAGGATTTAGTAGTTTTATGTTTCTTGTTCTTTGTGTTCTTCCTCCAATGAAGAATTGTTTTTTTAATTTATTTGTGTGATGCTGGGCTGCTGCAATTTACACGACACAATGAGTTTAATTAAGGATTAATATTTATTCATAAAATTAGAAATAAAGAGACAGACTTAAAAGTCTGCTCGCTGTGATTTAAGCAGACATTATCGTTTAATGCACAGATATAAATAATAATCTGTTGCTTTTGCTCTGGCGTATGACTTCTTGGAAACATCCATGTAAAATAATAAAACAAAATATTCAACATATGTTTTTTTCATGCTGCAGCGTTCTCAGGAAGCCATGGAGCTAAAAATCAATATATACTTTATCGCTGATGACCCCTGGGAGAATCTTTTGACCCCACTAATTAAATGTGTTCATCGCAGAGTGAAACTTCAACACAGCAACTTGAATTTATGCGAAATCTGCTTGATAAACTTTGATGGATAAAGACAATAATGTAAGTAACATTATGGGAATCCTTTCAGTTGTCGATATTACTGTAAAGTTTATTTATGAAATGGATTTCCTGATTAAACCGAGTCATTTTGAATATGTTTTTGACGAGAAACCACAAAATTACTAACTAAAATCTCTTAAAATCTTACTCTTAAAATGTGTAAAATGTGTGTTTTATTGGCGTTATCTTGTAGAATTATGATCTGTAATTATTATAACCATTGCTGTTTATTTTTTATAATTTTCATTATAATATAAAATACTGCCATGTGGATTAGGCATTCTATAGTACCTTGGTTTTATCAATTAGGACATCTACTGTTAATTAATTATCAGTAGATGTCTTGGCAGTGTTATTTATACCTGCCACAGTCTTGATTTCGTTATTTGCGTGATCTTGTGTTTTATACTTTTTTTCAAGGCCTCTGCTCTGTGACCAGCGTGAGCGAAGTTACGGAAGGTGCTGATGAAAGATGAAATGATGAAATGTCCAACCTGGACTCCGGATGAGAACACGGACAGGGAGCTGTAGCTGGGCAGAGACGACTCGGCCTGACTCAACATGGACCCTGGAGAGAGACACACGCAGCCAGATGGTGAGCGCGCACACACACACACACGCACACACACACGCACACATGGGGAAATCTCACGGCGGAGACATAGATGCATGCGCTCTAATGGACAAACTAATGGTTTGCCAGCATGCACGTGTCCCTGTCGGTAATTATCAATGTTTCATGTAGAAGTGACGGGCGGCGCGAGTGAGCCGATGGAGGTTACGTGTTTGCGGCGTGGCGTCCGCACCTGAACCGCTGGCGTGCTGCTGATGGTAGACGGAAGTGTTGAAGGAAGTGGTCAGAGGGGCTTGGCTCTGCGAACAGGAAGTGGCGGCCCCCGACCTCCTTTGATTGCGCAGCTTCTCCTCCCTCCTCCACTTGGCTCTTCGGTTCGAGAACCACACCTGCCAATCAAAGAGTTTCATCACCACAAGCCACATGGCGTCACAGGCGTGTCGTCAGAGACGTTTCTGTTTCTGGAGCTCACCTGTATCCGGGCTTCTGGTAAGTCGATCTTGTTTGCCAATCGCTCCCTCGCAAATACATCCGGGTAATGTGTCCTTTCAAACTCTGTGGAAGACATATTAGCTAATGTCAAACACACAGCGTGAGTCTTAATCGAGGGTGACGGGACGACGCGGAACAGCTCGCCTGACAACCCTTCCCGCGTGTCGTTAACAGGCTTTTAATGCATCTGTTTACGGGGAACGAAAGCACAAGATTTGAGTAGATTCCAACAGAATTCATTTGAATCAGTTATGGATTATTTTTGACGGATGTCCGCCTGCAAATCAGTAAATTGCTGCATGAGATCATTCATTATCTTGCGATGAAATACACAAGTCTAGAAAGCTGAAATGTGTCCCTACAACCATATTTAAAATATTTATCTTTTGCACTTTGTATAAATAATTTATCATCATGGAACACGCAGAAAGTTCATGTCAAGTTGAGAAGCTGCCTTGGCACTTTGTTTCAAAGTAGGCTGACCAAAATTGAGCTTAAAAAAATCCTTGGAGATTTTCATTTTGGCATAATTTAATATCTAAATGAGTCACCGTCTGTGACTCATAAGGAGAAGCATTTAATTAAAATGATCAGCCGGGTGTTTGTATCAATGAGACTTCATTTCTCGAGGTGCCAGTTCGTTGGAAGTTGACAAAGTGCTGACATTTCTGTTTGTTCGCCTCACCGGCCTGAGTCACCCGAATGAACTCTGAGGTCTGGAACCTGTAACTGAGAGCTCGCTACAATTATGATGCTGAGCGTTACATTTAGCATGTGAATAACAGAAAACAAAATCATTACAAATATGGATATTTTAAGCAGAATACATATATATGTGTACATACAGTAGTTGTGTAAATATTTATATTTATATTGTAGACAATATATCCCTGAAAGGTTACCAGCATCGTAAATAACCAAAGAATTAAGGGTCCACTGGTTACACTGGTTAATAGATCCATATTACGACAGCTCCGTAAATTAAGTCTGTCTCACAAATTGTTATAATTGGCTTATTTATAATTGGCGTCCGTGTCAACACGTGATTGTTATTGTGCCTTGGCCGTGCACTGAGGTCAGCGTACCTCATTAATGTCATTTGTAGCGAGTGACCACAGTGATGTCTTTCCGCTCGGCTGCACAGTGGACATTGCGTCCTTATTTAGCTCAAGGGCCGGCTGCAGCCATGTCCAGTCAAGGGTGGCTTTCTGATCCCTCTCTCCCGCTGCATAATACAACCATTGTAACGCTGCGTTATCAGAACTCGGCTCTACACGCTGCCAGAGGCCCTTTGGAGGACATTTTTGGCTTCAAGATGATGTATAATTTGCATCAAGGGGAGCTCATGGGAGGCCATGTTTTCTCCTCCGTGCACTACAACAAATGTTGCCCATAATCTCCTGCCAGTCTCCCACAAGCTGCAAACAAGGCGTAAAGGTGTAAAGACTGTATCCCAACAGTAAAGGTGTTGGCAGTGGAGGAGGAGGGGGGGGTCAGGATAAGCTGCGTCATGGCGGAGGGCAGCGATTGGCTGAAAAGCAGCGACTGAGCTGTGCGTGCTGGCATGGCCTGACCTTTCTCCAGAGCCTCGATCTGCTCCTGCGTGAAGCTGGTCCGGTTCCTCTGCAGCTTCCTCTTGAGCTGCAGCCTCAGCTGAGACTCCTCGCCGTCGTCCCTCTCGACGGGGACTCCTCCCCCTCGGCCCGTTCCCCCTCCCGCTGCCTCCCCCCCTATGCTGCCCTCCGTGTCCAGCAGGCAGCCGTCGGACACTGGCGGGGAGGAAGGTGACAAAAGAGACGCGGGGGTGTCAGGAAAAAGGGATTTCAGACGCACAGAACGCGCCGAACCGACAGGAAGTTACCGACGGCCACAAGTCGCTGCTGCTTTTAAATGAGGCGCAAATGTGGTGACGTTGGACATAGGATGGAGACCCCCCCCACACCGCCCCGCTCACCTGTGCTGTGTTGCGTCTGGACGCTGGTGGGGTCGTGGTACCAGTTGTTGGGCCCGCTCCAGTTTGAGCCGCTCTGCAGGTTCAGCATGGTTAACTTCTCATACATGCTACGAGTGTCCAAACCACCATGAAGACGAACGGAAGAAGTCCTGTCCCGTGCGTGTCCGCCCCTGTTCGCTGTCACCTTTGGCAAATCTCGCCTTCCGTCGATCCTCCAGTCCTCCCCTCCTGGAGGAGGGGTGGTGGGGGGGGGGGGGGGGGAAAGAGGAGGAGGAGAAGAAGACGAAGGAGGGGTTCATATCGCATGAGTTCACACATGGTCGGCATTGTGGCGAATTAGCCTCATGATGACAGACAGAAACGGAGTTGGTTACATGCTAGCTGTCGTGGCGTGTGCGTGTTATACATTTGTATGCTAGTACACCGCGGGGAGCAAAGGTACATTAGAAGCCACTCTGAAATCCATGACATTTATTATGCTACTTGCTTTTAGCTCTATCTCTTCTTGTAAGCACAAGCTTGCGTGCACACACGTACGCATGAAGAGACAATGCATTTCCATGTGGCAGCGAACTGCCATCGCGCGCACACACACATGCACACACACACACACACACACACGCACACAGCGGCTCCTTGAACAGCAAATTCCAACCAAAGAGATGTTAAACTTTCGGTAAAAGGCATTAAGGGCTCAGAGATGTCCACAATCAGTCGATCGATCCACAAGTCTGACAAGATCAAAAGTCTCTCTGAACGCGTCTTGTATTTCCCGTTTATTTTAGAAACTCATGGGACAAATCTCGCAGTACTGCAACAGCACAATGTCAGAGGGTCCAACTTCATTCATTTGGGGCGAAGCATATTTTATCAAACTCCAGAAATGATCCCGGGATGGGGAAGTACCTTGAGGTCCATCTCTGGAGCTTCTACCAGGGTCTACGTTTAAAGAAAAAGGGCTCTCGGCACAGAATGATCCCACATGCACTGAACAAAAAAACATTTTATATTTGCAAACTTACCGAGAGTCCGGCTGAAACGGCGCGGCGGGTCCGGTGTGTTACTTCCCCCTGTGGACCCTTCAGTCCCCTCGTTCGCCCCCCACGTCCCTCGTTCTCCAGCTTTGTTGACAATAACTGTGTGTATGTGTAAAGCAGAGAGTAGGAGCGAGATGGACAGAGTTAGACAGGGTGAGAGAGAGTGAAAGAGGAAGAGGGGGGGCTCTGGAGAGAAATGCGTCTGCGGGCACTCTTGTCCTCCGAGCGATGGAGAGAGAAAGGAAGAGGGAGAGAGAGAGAGAGAGAGGGAGAGAGAGAGGGAGGGAGGGAGAGAGAGAGAGGGAGCCACCGAGGGGTGACAAAGTGAGTCAACATCAGTGTCAAGTTTGAACTTAATGCCAGCGAGAGGAGGAGGGGAGGCCGAGAGAGGGGAGCATAAAGCTCAGATAACGGAGAGATAGCGGATGATAAATAGATGATGGAATTCATAGATGATGGAACGACCATAAATTGCACATAAAAATAAAGCATAATCGGCGGTCGAGTGTGTAGGTGTGTCACACAAACACACACACACACACGCGCGCGCGAACAGATCACATTTGAATAGTTTGAACTCAAAGTTCACAATTGATCATTTTTCATGTCCACATTCATGTGCTATTGTATTGTATTGTAAAATAAAATGAAACCTTCAGCCACTGCACACAGAAGCAGATATTTGTTTAGGTATGAATAAAAGATAAATTGTTATAACCGTAAGGAAACAGATGCTGTCATTATTATTGGAGCATACGATAAGATGACAAATATTTGTAAAGTAGTTAAAGCAAATGTTTGTACCAGTAGACATTTCTTTATAACGGGATTTGGCCTGATAGTTGTATTATCAGGACAAATGACAAGTTGATTTTCCGTTTAATTTTTTTCAAAAGATCACGGCACAGCATGTGTCATTAATATATTATATTTTTATAATTATATATTAAAACATGTTATCACCACACAGTTATTATAGGTAAATATGAAGAACTTGTCATCATTAAATACTATTTCTTATATTTTTTTTATCTATCTATCTATGAAGCACACCAATGTAATAAAGATGTTAATGCACCCAATTTAATAAGTGTAATGCCCAGAAAACAACAAAAAATAAGTAATTACTGCGTTCATTAATGTAGAAAAAACACATGTATCCATAATAAAAAACCCAAATTGCATCAGTTGAAAATGAAAAGTTGAAAAAAAAAGATCTGCATTTGTTTGTCATTATTAAATTTCATTGGTTCATAACACTGCAGAAAAAACTGTTTCTCTATTTTAATTGGCTGTTTTATTGGCTATTGGGGCCAAAACTCAAAGATTTTCCAAATCGTACTTTGCAATTATAATATCGGCGGAACTTCATTGAATGCTCGTTAAGTAACTTAATCCCAAGAGTGTGAAGATGCTGCAGGAAGTTTCCACACCTCATCCTTTAACCCCACACTGAAACGTGCACGCAGGTCAGGTCACCTGAGCACCTGTACGGTTCCCTCACAACCCGGGGATTGTTCCCCCGCCACGGAGCTACGGGACAATAAACAAAGGCCCGGCGGCCTGGGGAGAGGGGGGAGGTCGGGGGGGGGGAGAGCAGCTCCACGCCGTCCGCGGGCACACGAGGTCTTTGTGAGCAATGACGCAGGTATGACGGCGCGCGCGGCGGAGTCAAAGAGCAGAGGAGAAACGCCGGGGTCTAAATGCGCCTCCTCGCAGCGGAGGGGAGGAGGACGAGGGGAGCGATGGAAGACGGAGGAGAGGGATGGAGGGAGTGAGGAGGAGGAGGTATGTGACTTTGGGGTGGGTGTTGGGGCTTAGGGATGGGGAGGGTGCCAGCTTGTTTTATTTCCGGTTGACAAGACTTTGCGCTCCCTTTCTCTCTGTCGCTCCCTCTCTCTTTCATACTACGCTATTCTTTCCCCGCTGCCCCCATTGCTCTGCACCCCTCCCTCCCTCCCTCCCTGCCTCCCCCAACCCCCCCCTTCTCTGTTACTTTCCTCCAAGATGTGCCTTGGAGAAAGGAAAGGACTTGACAAGTTTAAAGGTAAAAAGGAGTACAAAGGAGGTCGGTGGGGGGGGGGTTAATCCTTTGGTCAAGAAAAATGAAACAATATCACACATATGAAACAATGCCAAGAAAAAAAGGCCTACAATTAATATGAAGTAAAACTACACATATGTTATCAGTGAAAACTTCCCATGAGAATCACAATTGCTGTCAGTTCTGCTAAATGACTACACGTTACAGCATATATTATATTATGGCTTCATTGTTGCTTTTGCCTTCATCATGGGAAGGCTGAAGAGGCGTGATGGAGAGACACAAAGTGCTGGACGGGGACTATCGCATATAAGCAGCATTTTGATCAGAGATGTTCAACGTGAGGCTCGTTTCAGCTCCTCCGTCTTCATTCACGATCATTTATAGGTTTCAAGACAATGTGTCAAATTATAATCTATATTAACTTAATCTGTCAAGCACATGCAGCAGAGTAAAAACCATAAAACGTTGGTGAGTGTATAAGCAGGCTTTCTAATAGAAAGACACTTCATTTATATCCACGTACAAGTTCTTCAAAACTGAGTTCGAATGCAAATGTACTTAAAACATGAAAACCCAAACGAAATGAGTGAAAGTTGAGTAACAAAAATTGCTTCAATCAAAAAACCAAACTTAAAAAGAAGCGGTATTAACGCTTTTCATCCCACCGCCCTCGTTTCCCATCTTGCTACTTTTTGTTTTTCCTTTTATTCAGAAATCATTGTTGCATCGGATTGTGCTCCAGTTGTTGGAATGTGGCTTAACCTACGTGATCCCTATGTACTGAGTGCAATAATGTGTGTGTGTGTTTGTGTGTTTGTGCGTGTGCGGAGCGGCGCGTGCTTCTCTGCAAAGATTCATGTAGCTCCGGGACATGCATTTTTTTAGTGCATCTTGTTAGTTCATTCCTGTCACCTCTCTCCCTCTCACTCTCTCTCTCTTTCTCTCTCTCTCGCCATCCCTTGCTTTTCCAGCGCTGGAGGGGGGATGGGGAAGGGGTGGTGGACGAGCCTGGGAGGGGAGGAGGAGGGGGAGGCGGTGGCGGTGGAGGCAGTCACCATGGTTACAATGCCACGACAAATATTCATCAAGTCGTTAAAATAAAAACAAAGTGGAGTGCATTATAATTGCTCTTACTGACTGGGTCCTATAATGTGTTCATGTATTATGAGTGAGAGGAGCACACTGCAATGGGCCTCACGCACAAAAAAATACACTGTTACTGATTGTAAATAAAATCATCGGAGACATATGAGACACACTCACACACATTTCACCTCTTAGTGTGGAACTTTATTTTCCGATTACCTGTTTATGGGATTCCTAACAAGTATTTTGGCGAGTGTTTCCTTTCTCTTTGTCCCTCTCTCTCTCTCTCTCTCTCTCTTCCTCTACTGTTGTGTAGCCCGAGGCGATACTGTGATGTGTCCTCCCTCTGTCCCTCCCTCCCTCTCCCTCTCTCTCTGTCCCTGTCACCTTCAATTGCTCTGTGAAACTAGACACACTGCCTGGGGCAGGGAGGCAGGGAGGGAGGCAGGGAGGGAGGGAGGGAGGGAAAGGGAAGAGAGAAACAGACCGACAGCTTTATAGACGGACAGAAGAAATAAACATTTGGTGTCATGAGGAAATAAAAATAGGGTAACCACGGCCCAGATGTGTGGCCCACTCCGACATTATGTTAATGTTCACAACGCATGCCAAAAACACACACTTTGAATTAGCAATGGAAATAAGTGGGAGAATACATACATACATATTACATGCACACATCTAGCATATTTAAGGCTGACCTCTGACCTGCGTGATTTATAATGTGGCTTAGTAACCATGCTGCTTTATCTTGAACAGGTACCTGGAGCATTTCTGGACACTACAAACACCCGGTAAACTGCGCATAACGTCGGGTTTTATGATGCGTTTGTTCTCAACATTAAAACTAGAAACCAGGAAAAATTACATGATAAGATTAATCGGAATGTTCACATTTAAAAAGGTTATTTATTTTTTCATTATAATTTATATTTCTAGAACAGAGTTGATCCGCCGCATATGTAATATTGTTCTAATAATTAAAAGTAATGATAGTTCATAATATAGGTTTAACAACGCATCATATTGTTATACTCAGATCTGATTATACGCTGAACATGTCAAATACCAAATACATTTTATATTTCATCATAGGACCAAATAAATGTAATGCAACACGAAAACAGCTAAACATTAACATTAGTAACTCATCCGGGACAGAAACCAATGTTTCTACAGTCATCAAAAGAACGGAAAATGTTCTTTGCGTGTGATGAAATCAGAGGGAGCATCTGATTTGTCTGCGGTTGCGATCCATCATGTCCATTGGCTCAGGTGAATACGGAGGGCGGGACAAGCGGTTTGATTGGGTGTAGTACTTTCAGAGAGCCACCCGTTCGTAATCAAGGCGTTTACCTGGATTTTACCTGGAAACTCACTCGGGAAGCCCGGATCCGCAGAGGGATTCGGGGAAACGTTTAGGAGATTGGTTTTGAATCTCCTGCACTGCTCCACTTTCAGTCGCAACAGAAGAAGAAGAAGAAGAAGAAGAAGTCACTCGGTGGATACAAAGTAACCGAGGGTTTCCCCCCCCCCCCTAACTTCAGAGATATATCGTCTGGCTCCGATCCAGTAGGTCACCTCTCACAAACAGGATTTTTAGCGCGCAAACAAAATGTCGCCGATGTTACAGTTTTATGCCATTTGCTGCGCAACAGGTGAGTTCTCCGTGTCTCTCGTCCCTTTGTTCACCTGTTAACGCGCGCGCCGTGAACACGCACCCGCCTCCACGGACCCGCGGCTCCGCGCTGCACCGCTCACAGGTGGAGTTTTTGTTGTGTTTCCCCCACCCCAATTTTAGGTATTTTTGTTGCCTTCGCTCAACAATGCGGCCGACCGACGATAGCGACGAACAGGATTGTGGGGGGGCAGAACGCCAAAGAAGGGGCCTGGCCGTGGCAGGTGGACATACAGGTGGGCCCCGACAGGTGCCTCCCACTTGCCTCAGCTGAGTGCTAGTGGAGGTCTTGTTTACTTGCTGACCTGCTGAGAGAGGAATTTTCTCGTGATGCTGAGGTGACTCACTATTTTTCACCCCCCCAGTCAGGCGGTGGTCACATCTGTGGAGGTTCCATCATCACGGAGAGCTGGATCCTGTCAGCCGCTCATTGTTTCCCAAAGTAAGCGCACGGTCTTCAGGCCATCTGGTTTCTTCTGTGGGAATCTGTTGTATTTTAACATCCTTCGATGACGGTGAAGATCAAACCTAATTTAAGGAGAACCTCCAACACCGCTTTTTGGGGTTTTGCATTAGAAACCTCGCTTTCCGGTTCATCGGCCTCCATTTGTTGTCCTTCCGTCCTCTTCCAGTCCGGACGAGGTGACCTCTTACACCGTCTACGCCGGCCGCTACCAGCTGAACGGCGTCAACCGGCACCAGTCAACGCATGGCGTGAGCCGGGTGGTGATTCCGACCGGCTACAGAGACGCTCAGCAGGGGAAGGACATGGCGCTGGTCCAGTTGACCGGCCCGGTAACCTGGTCCGATTACATCCAGCCGGTCTGCTTGCCCGCCGCTGGCACCCTGTTCCCGAGTGGCATGCAGTGCTACGTCACCGGCTGGGGGAACACGCGGGATAACGGTTTGGCTTTTTCAATTCTCTGAAGATTCATGGATGGTCATTTTTTCCTCCGAATCTGGGACTCTCAAAGTATCATACAGTCAGAAATAAAGTTTGTATGAGTTCCTCAATTTCCCACAAGGGTTATGTATAGTTTTTCTGAAACCGATGAGTTATAGAAACCACTCCTTTACGATGGGTGATAAATATATCTGTTTATTGACCCTCAGTGGAATTCCACAGCCGGTAGTAAATGTAGTTCATTGCACATTTATTGCAGCGGCTCGCAACCGCACCATTATTATTATTATTATATTTCAACCATTATCATGAGATCGCAGCTCGATTTAACTTTTTTTAATTGTGGGAATAGACGTCATTCAAAGAAATCTCACTGCTTTTGTCCTTTCCAGTCCCTCTGGCAGGTGTCGGGACTCTGCAGGAGGTGGAAGTGCCAATCATCTCCCAGAGTTCGTGTCAGGACATGTACGGGACGAACCCGACCGAGGTGGTGGGCATTCTGTACGACATGATCTGTGCTGGATTCGCGCAGGGCGGCAAGGATTCCTGCCAGGTGCTGTTGGATCAGCCGTCATCGCGTACGGCTTCTATACGGGACGTCACCGACCTGCATGGGAAAACCACTCGCATTGCAATCACGTGTTGTTGTTTTTCTCTCTCCAGGGCGATTCAGGGGGGCCTCTTGTCTGCCAGATGGTAAACGGCACCTGGGTGCAGGCCGGCGTGGTGAGCTTTGGACTGGGCTGTGCTCACCCCAACCAGCCGGGCGTGTACGCCAGGGTGACCGCCTTCTCCAACTTCATCCTGGACACGGTGCCGGAGGTCCGGCTGTACGGCCGGGCTGATCGGCTCGGGGGCGGGGGGGCGGCCCTGCTGGCCGCTCTGCTGGTTCTGCTCCTGAGTTAGAACGCTGGACGCTAGAACGCGAGGAGAGCCAAATGAAGGATGAGCTTAAATAAATGTGTGACTTGTGTCCAAAGTTATCCTGAAAAGTAGAATTAGAAAATTGTATCGAATGTGCAAATTAAGCCATATTTAACAACATTTTTAGAACCATAACTTTGCATAATGAAATGAATCCAAATCACAAGCTAAATAAGTAAAGTTCTGTATTTGAAATAAAATGTTTATTTGATTCTTAAAATCAGTTCGGTCAACATCTAATGTTTTAGCTGTTTCATGTTGTTTAGGATCAAAGCTTCATTCAGATTCTTGTGTCCATCTCCAATGGAGCCACTTTTAACTGTAAGCACTTCAGCGGTTGCCTTTGAAACAACATCAATAACAAACTTGTATTGACCAATAAACCTTTTGTAATGTAAATTAAACATTTTGTTCTAATGTTTTTGTTTTAAATAAATTAAAAGTAATGTTGAAATGGCCTCCTAGGAAGAACCAACATAATTAGGTTGATTATTTCAATCCTCATCCCAAAAAATCCAGTGGCAAAAACAGGTGATGACAGTTTTCTTTATTATAAAGAAAAGCGTGGCATGACGTAATGGTAAAAAAAGATGGCGTGGTAGTGCCTGTTTTAAAAAACTAAATCTACTCAAGGTTTCCATGTTAACAGAAATCTAAGATTCACACAAATCCCAGAGCTGCCTTTTAAATTCCTGGCCGGGAATGTCAGGCATCCGGGGGAATGTTATCCGAGAGGATCATGGGAGAGCCGAGCTGCAACTCCTGCTGCAGCGACTCCAGATCGGCGGGCGTCATGCGGTGGACCTCGCTCCAATCAGACAACAGGGACGCCGAGAGGGGGGCCGAGTCGTAGCTGATGGAGAAGCAAAACGAAGGGTGCGTTAGGACGTCGCCATCGTTTGGACTCGCGTTTGAGCTTCACCGTGCGCGACGACGTCCGTGACGAGTCTCACGCACGAAGGTTGTTTTCACCGAAAAATGTGTCTACAAGCTCCCCTTAAATCTGAGTAGTTTTGGATGTGTACATATTTGCATCAGGTTTGGAAGCCAACACGCTACTTTTTATTAGAGGTCTTGTGAGTTGGCAGTAAACAGCAGCTTATCAGGGTCACAGCTCATAAAAACACACAAAGAACATTTACAACGTAGCCTACAATAAGAGAGCGTGGCCTTAAACGCCTTCACAGGGCCGGCAATGAAGTCTGATGTACGCCTGTGAGCACTTGGTGGATTTGCACGCGTCACAGAAATTACAGCGACCGGCCACGACATGAGAGCACTTGGATGGAAATGACTTGCGCTTACTGCTAGTTGGGACAAATCTGATGTGAGACCACCACGACGGACGCACACACAGATGTCCAATGACAACCAGATAATAGTCTGATATGAACGGGGATCTTTTATTTAGTAGAAGACGAGCGCGCGCTGTGAAAGCCTTTACCTGTCGCAGTGTTGCAGGTCTGTAATAGACTGGCTGAGGAAGTCATCCAGGTCGAAGCCCACGCCGTACCCGGCCCCGCAGCCTTTAGGGGTGACCGAGAACACCGGAGGCAGGACGTCCTCCACCTGACAGGGGACACGAAGGTAGAGAGGGGGGGGCATGGGGTCAAGTGAGGCCAGGCAAGCAGAGCATGGTGACATTTAAGCCTGATATCTGTGTAAAAAAACAGAATATGAAGGTAATTCAGGTAACGTGCTGCCTGCAGAAAGCAATTGAACATTTGAACAAGGCGAGCACACCTGGGACTTTGAGAGCTGCAGTGTTACTGTGTGGATGTCGGGGGCAGTGGGGGGCCCCTGCTGTCCGGTATCTGTGAATCCTAAACTGGGATGAGGCTGGGAGGGGACCCCTAAAGACCCACACAGAGGGTGCACGGCCTGTGCTCCGGATTGCTCTCCTACGGAGGGACACAGCTTCTCCATGGAGCAGGGCGGCGGCGGCGCCGAGGGGTCGTGGTGGGGGCTGTTCCGCCGCCCGACATTCCCGTTTGTCTCTCGGGCGGTTAATGCTGGTGCTTTAGTTAAAAAACTCTCCAGAGGGAGCAGATGCGACTGGGGTTGCGGGTTGGGCTGGTTTTGACCTTGAGCTTGGTGGTGGGGCTGGAGGAAGCTCGGCGGCGGCGGCGCCTGCGGCTTGCCGCCTGGCTGCGCTGGCCTCGTCTCCGCTCGGTTCCAGTTTCCCAAACAGTGGAAACCACCGTTGCTCTCGCTCTGAGGTTTGAGCGTGTTGTTCTCAACGAAGCCTCTGGGGACGGCCAGCATGTCCATCCCCCCGCTCACGGCCGCAACCACATCCGCTGCGGGCTTCCTCTGGCTCACGGGGAAGAGCAGTGGTGGTTGCTGGGTACTGGGAGGCGGGAACACGCCCTGCTGGTTAGGTTCAACTTCAGGGACTAACTGTTCGTGAGACCTGGCCTCCTTGCCCGTTGTGTGGTTCAGTGCTCCTGGAGTGTTATCACTGATGGCTACGCCACCCTGAGAGTTCACATTGGAGTCCTTATTCTTCGTCGCTCCATCGCTATCGGGGGTCGGCGTTCGCTCACTCCGACAGTCCATCATCATTGTCCAACGTTGCAGAAGGCTCTTGTCGTTGTCGCTCAGCAGGACCCCGCCCAGCGAGTCCCCCTGTTTGCCCTCTCTTCTCGCCTTTTCCTTCATTTTCCTCTCCCGCTTTCTGGCTCGTTCCTGCCGCTTCCTTCTCTTCTCCTCTCTTTCTCGCTGACGCTCCTGTGCCGTGACAGGCCGGCGGAAATCTGGAACAGAAGACTGGGAGGACGATACGCCTCCCCCTGCGCCAGCGTCGGTGCCCAGCGCCGAAGTGCCTCCATCTGCAATGAGAACGCAAAACTGTGACGAAGGCCGTATAGAGGGTGAAATGACAATGAAACAAAGTAGATATGGGGGGGGGGGGGAAACGGCAAACTCACCCCCCCTGGCTTTATTTCTGAGAGCTGATTTCAATAAAGCTGCTTTGAGTGCCGCTTTGGTATCCTCTGAAATGGCCCCTTCTTTCCTCGTTCCCTCGCCGGCACCTGGAGGCGGCCTGGCGTTCTTGGACAGTGACTGCGAAAGGGACTGAGACAGGGACTGGACCTGCGTCACGGAGAGACAAAGGGAAGGCACAGTGGCAGGCAGGGGTGTCATGCTCTGCGCCGGCGTGGCAGGGGTAGAGGCGGCGGCCTGGCTCATGGACCGGCTCTCGGCGGCTCGTCTCAGAGGAGCCGGAGTGCCGCTGAGCCGCTCCTGCACCTCGCCGTCTCGCATGCTTTCCAGGGAGGCATCCTGACTCGACACCGGCGTGGTCAGATCTATAGTCTCCGACTGGCCGCTGTCCGAGTTGGCGCTGGGCATGTCCACGTCGACCGGGCCGCTTTCGCTTTTAGAAAGAAGACGCAAGTTGTGGGTCACGTGAGGCGGGGCCCCCTCCAAGAGGGACGACGGCTTGTTAAAGCTCCGCATCTGATTCACAAACGCGTGGCTCCCTTCTGCCGGCGTGTGATCTTGTTGCCGTTGGGATTCCGCTTCGCTCATTTGCTGGTGCTTTGCCACAGGAACCAGTGTTGATTTGCTAAAGCTAACAGCGGAGGGCTGTGCATCACACTGGTTGCCGCTGTGCGCGGCGGCTCGGCCGGCGGCCCTCGCCAAGGGCCTGAACTGCAGCCGCTGACGACAGCCCTGTTTGTTCTGATGAAAGTCCTGGATCTCCATCAAGATCGCCTCTTTGATTTGATCCTTGTTCATCGGCAGCTTGTCGAATTCAAAGTCAAAAGCCGGCACGCAGATCGGCTCGTCGTCTTGGTCGTGATACTTGGACAGGTAAGGGTGCTCCAGCGCTTGCGTCACGGTGATTCTTTCGCGGGAGTCAAAGCGCAACATGGCAACCAGCAGGTCGAGAGCCTCCGCCTCCGCCTGCGGGTACAGTTTGGCCAAAGGCACAGCGGGCCGCGACGGAAGACTCTGAACGTAGGAGCGCACTCGGTCGGCCCTGATGGTGCTGATCAACTTCTCGGGGGGAGTGCCCAGCACGCCCAGAATGAGCGTGAGCTGGTGGACGTAGTGCCTCCCGGGGAACAGCTGCTTTCGCCCCAACATTTCGGCAAAGATGCAGCCGACGGACCACAGGTCGATGGCCAGACTGTAGTGATTCAGAGACAGCAGGAGTTCGGGGGCGCGGTACCAACGGGTCGCCACGTATTCCGTCATGAAGGAATGAGACTCCTCCGGGTGGAGGCTCAGACCCCTGGCCATGCCGAAGTCGCCGATTTTTAGCTCGCAGTTCTCGTTCACCAACAGGTTGGAGGGTTTGAGGTCGCGGTGGATGACGTTGGCGGAGTGCACGTACTTGAGGCCGCGGAGGAGCTGGTACAGAAAGTAGCGTGTGTGTTCGGAGGTGAGCGTCTGGGATGAGTGTATGATCTGGTGCAGGTCACTCTCCATCAGGTCCAGCACCACGTACCTGCAAATTTAAAAAAAAAAGTGAATCACGTCTTTTTGTCAAATGCGAATCCGAAAAGCTTCCAGACATTTACGTTATCAAGAAACACAGAGCTGCTCCCACGTTTCTAGCTTGAGGAAGAACCACGGGTCCAATTGGCCATCAAAGGTACCCTGACAATAAAAAGTACGCACACAGACTTGAAGGCGGAGTGAGGAAGGTTGGGCTGCAGGATGTCCTTGATGGCGATGATGTTGTCGTGCTTGAAGTGCTTGAGGATCTTCAGCTCTCGCAGCGTGCGTTTCGCATTCGTCAAAACCTCAAACGCATTGGAGATCTTCTTAATCGCCACTTGCTGGCCTGTGAAATATAGATAAACCCAGATGAAAAAGAAACCAAAAAAAAAAAACACAACAAGACGTTGAGTCCTGAGTTATTCATCAACCCTACCATTGTCCCTTCTCCTGGCCGATGAAACGACGCCATAGGCGCCCGTGCCGATGGTCTCGATGACGTCGTACTCTTCTCCCACGTCGAACTTCACGTCCAGAGAGTGAGCTTTGAGCAGGGCCAGGTTCTTCGCGCTGGTGCTGGTGTCCGCTGTGCTTCCCGTCGCCTCGACCTCGCGCTGGTTCTCTCGGCTTTTGTCGGTGGCCATCCTTTCAGGCGACATGGTCACAGGTTGACCACTTTTTCCTTCTCCTCCCTCCTTAGTTGACATTTCTCTGTGAAGAATTAAAATGGTCAGGCCACTTTTAACAGCAGCGTTACAAATAACAGTTTTGAGAGTTACACCAGTGTCTGATGGCTTGTAAAAAGCAAACTGTATTTGTTACACGTTGGCCCAATTGTTATTATATGCAAAGAATTGAGGAATATAAGAGCTTCCTGTATCTTCATATTGCTGAAAGTCAGTAATTAGAGTAATCAAGCAATCAAAACTGCCAAACAATCCAACAAAATATGATGATAGTAAGCGTTTATTTTGGCTTTGGGCTGTTAGCTTCCAAAAAAGAAGCAGCTAACTCGGATGCAACTTGAGTGGATTAGTGTAATTAGTGTGGTAAAATAACCCTGCGGTCACAGTATTAAGAGTGTCGTAAATCAGGGCCCTTCCGGCTCAGGTGCCATAAGACCGCAGCTCTCCATCGCTGCGGGCCGCTTGCGCGTGGAGAGAAAACGCGTTTTGTCGCAACATTGTTTCTGCGCTTCGCTCGCGACGAGCTAACGTTGGTAGTGACGTTACGGGGACGCAGCCGTGCCCGCTTTCTGGCGCAGGGGCGTGGCCTTTGTTACCTGGAGCCGCGGCTTTCCGTGAGCGTAAACCGTTAATAACACATCTATTTGTGACCATGAAAACAGACAGGAAGTCACGGAGACGCGTTTCTGCGTGACGGACCGGACTCTCACCTCGGGAGACACACACAACATCCGTTATCGTGTTTTCTTTTCGTCCCGTGGTGGCACTGCTGTCTGTCCCTTGTGTTTGTCTGCCGCTTCCTTGTGTACTTCCGTGTTGGGTTCGTGACGTGTGGACGGACCAACCAGGTGAGGCGACATGCGAAAGATCGTCCAATAGGAGAAGAGAACGCGATGGAAGGCGGGACATTACGGCAGACAGTAGGGTCTCTGTTTTTTTGTTGGATTTTTTCGGGTGGTGTGACGCCGTTTTCCAAAATCTATTAATCTTAGGGGGGATCATATTGGGACAAAAATACCCTGCAGTTAAACCTAAGTATGTAGTATGGTGGATTTAGCTAACAACTAGTAAAGTACAGCACGGATGTGGGTATAGGTGATGACCCTAAAGCCTAAAAGTACCATAATTGCTACAACTAAACTGGAGCACATATATTGGTCAAACCGGAAAGTAGTTTCCGATTTGACCAAACATAATTTTACACAATTCACCAGAAGGAATTGCAATGACCTAAATTGAGAGATGGATTAAATGTTGCATGTCTATAAAGTAGCCTGATGAAATGTTTATTCTTTCTGTTCGTTACTTTTGTTATTTATTATAATAATTATTTTCACAGTACTGACTGAGCCTAATCCCACTGGTCATAGATTCCTGTGAAGGACAGACGGACTGAAGTCCGCGGTAAACAAATAGAAGAATCCCCCTGTGGCTCCAGCAGCTGTACCCAGCCGTCCAATGAAAAGCCGTGACCAAAAATCTCCGGACCAATCAGAAGAGAGACCTGGGTTTTTAACACGTCGCCGGAGTTTAGTGAAGTTTGTCTGGAAACGAAGCCTCCTTTTTGTGCTTCTTGTTGTTTTTCAAACCTACGGGTAAATAAACATGGCGATGCCGACGTGGGAGAGAAAAGCGCGCACATTCCTCTGCGTTTTGGGTTTGTTTTTGTCTGCTTACGCGCTGCACGTCGAGCTGTCCCGAGAGAGGAACCCGGATTACAGGGCGATGTGCGACCTGGGGGAGTCCGTGAGCTGCTCCAAGGTCTTCACCTCCAGGTGGCTTTCTTCATTTCTTCCTCATCTCCGCGCCTGCGCTGGAGGCCAGAATCGCGAGACCTCGTCTTATCAGCTTTAGTGATTTAGTGATTGTTAAATCTTTTGCTGTCTGCTTGTGAAGTCCCCCCCCCCTCCCGCCCTTTATTGCCACGTGTTAAAATCCTTAGGAAGGCTTTTTGTGAAAATATTGAGTCAATAATACTTGTTTGGACATGTTCTGTTTTGATTAAATCATCTGCATGCCAGATTCTTTTTTTGACAGATCCAACCCGTCCCAGTGATTCATTCAGAGCGGTTTCTTTCTTCTGTAGATGGGGACGAGGTTTCGGCTTGGTCCAGTTCTTTGTGGCCAAAGACAGCCTCCTCAACCAGCCCAACAGTGTGCTTGGCCTCCTGTTTTACACTCTGCAGATGGGCCTGGGTCAGTCTGTCACTTACATCATCAAGTGCCATCCGTTTATGTCTATGTTGATATTCATTAAGTTAAGCATATCAACCATGCATGATTCCCCAGATGTTACCTAAATAATCAGTTTCACCAAACGACTGCACTCTTTTGGCTTTTGTTGCAGGACTTTCTCTCTCCAAAAAAGCAGCAGCGCTCTTGGTGCTCTTCTCCTGGGTGTCCGTGGCCGGCTCGCTCTACCTCGCATCTATCCTCGCCTTTGTTCTGGGGGACTTCTGCATGGTCTGCGTGTCAACATACCTGGTCAACTTTGCGTTGCTCTTCACCAACCTGAGACGTAGGACGGCAGTGGAAGGGATGAAGGAGAAGGCTGGATAGAAAGTGCAGTACAATTGGAAAAGCCAGTTCTCTCTCACAGTTTTTTGTGTTTTTTTTTGCATTGCAGGAGAAACAGTAGATAAGATGATTTAAATTAAATAAAATAGCTTTGTAGAGGAATGTGTATTTGTGATGCTGATTACACGTCTGTACACATGAATACTACCTCATGCCGATACTCAGTCTAACCAGAGGAGGGAGCCACATGTGTGGTCTTATCATGGTGAATGTGGACATTTGATGGATATAGATTTTTAAATAATAGAAAGCGGAAGTATTTGCATTACACAAATAAGAAAAGCAAACTTGGTATAATAGATTAAATATACAACATCATGGCTACATTGAAGTTTGACTTGACACAATTTTAAACTAATCACCAGAATGAATTACAATGAAGACCTAAAATAAGGTTTTGACATAAAGCCTCGGGGCAAGATAAGATACACATTTGAGGTAATTAAGCTGGATGAATAAATCCTTTTTAAAAATGATATAATAATTTTTTTGTACTTAACAGGTGTCATCTGTACTTAAATCCACATTGATTGGATGTCACAGTCACACGGCCAGCCGGGGGCCGACTGTTTGTTGCCCTGCTGAGATTTGATTGGCTTCAAGCTAAGGAGGCGTGACCTTGTTCGCAAAAAGGTGTTTCTTATTGTTTCTCTTGAGGAAGGTTGAAACTGAAAAATACGTTGATTATCTACCGCAACAACATTCTAATGTCCGTCCCTTCGATGAAAGACTAACACAAATCAGCTCCCCATATATATATAAAGGCTAGCATATAAGATACATACAAGGTATTCTGAAGTAGAATTTCAAAATATGATAAGATGAATAAGATTTTTTCCCTGAAAATCCACATTACAGAAAGGACCTGCCCCAACATTACCAGCCCATGTAGATGTGGTTTTATTTAAATGTCCTTACTGGTAGCACACTGCCAGGAAAAACATCCTTTGTTTCTGTGTCAGCTGCCAGAAGGTGTTTCACAATATGCCCTGTAAAGTCCCGTTGAATGCTGTGACGTATTCCTCAGTCAAACCAAATATTTGAGAGGTGTACAGCCAGACAGAAATATTTAAGCAGCTATTTTCAGAGTTCCTCATTCCAGTTGGATTTTCATTGTGTACTGTCATCGCAGAGCTTTCTCATCGGTTCTTGAAATCCTTTTCTTTGCAGTTTTGCTTCCGTGTAGACAGAAATGAAGCTTAACCGCCTCTCTATCCCAACAAAAGACATAACTTTTGTTTGAGAGTCATCTTTATCAATGGTGAATGATGCCAGCAGATTGTGTTGTGGGTTTAGAATATACAAATTATTGTTGTAATTACTATTAATTATATTATGGATTACTCAGCACCTTAAATTAAATTGATATTTTCTGTAGATGTGCCTCAGGCAGCTTGATTATTATCAGCATGTTAAAGCCGGTTGGGTTAGACAGCAGTGCCATAATAAGATAAGGTTTCTGAAATGTCACGTTTCTCGTCACATGAAACATGTTCCAGTGCTGGCTGTCAAATGTGTTTACGAATGTGTTTCTATAATCTGGCTGTAAATTATTTAATGAACTATCTCCATCGGAGAAATTCGGACAGCACAGCCGTGTAGGCATGACATAACATTACATAACACCAATGTAGTCTTGCACACAAAAAGCAGACCAAAGGATCAGAGGAACTATACAATTCTAAGAAGTTCTGGGAAGCGGCTCGTGGGAGGGACATAGCTCACGACAGGTGACCGGTGAGCGACTATAAAGGCTGACAAACCAGAACGGTGCAGTAATCACAAAATGACTTCGAAGGAGTGGATCGGTCTCTTGACGGTGGCCAGCCTTTTATGGGCAGGTAAGTCACACTAAAATCAGACTAACGTCTTTTTTTTAACTGTGAGTTCTGGAAAAAAATTTGAAATAGAAGGGTAGGCCAATAAGTACAAATATATCAACCTCACATTTTGACGGTTTCAATAGGAAAAGGTACAGTTTGTATTCTAACTAACGAATATCTAGAGATGAACATAATTATTACATGACATTGAGGAAATAAAGGATACATTCTAATGCTGTTGTGGTTTCAAAGTCCTGGGATTGAGTCTGTGGCAAACTGTTGAATGTAGGAAACCTGTGACCCTTTGCTAATCACTTCACTGACTTATGTTTGATAAAAAAAAGGCTGTCTATGTTTCATTAATTCACCAACCTTCACTTAAGAACAGCAATGTGATTTTTATAACCTGGGAACCAACTATATATTCTTAAGATTGAGGTATGTAGGATGTACGAAGCATTAGTACATGATTTACCAAAGCCTCACGGAAAATATCTTTAACAGATCAGAGATCAGTTAGTGGTTGTTTTTTTGCAACATGTAAACAGAATATAGGCTGTTTCTATTATTTTGTAACTTTATTTGTATATTGATATTAACCCAATTGTGGTGTCTCTTTCCCAGAATCACATGCTCAGCTTGGTGGTAAGTTTTTAACATTATGAGATCCAATTGATGTCTGCATTACATATTGTATCTGCATTTCAGAGAGTTTTCAAAGTAGATTTGCCTGTTAAGCTGAAGTAGATGTATTAACTGTATAAGCACATTGCAGGTGTAACTGTCCCGCAGTGTTCGGTTATTTCCTCATAGGGTTAAATATTTAACAACCACAGATCCAAAGGTGACGAAGTAAACATACTGAGGAAAAGGATTCTACTAGATGATATTTATTTAAACATTTAACCAACATAAATTCAAATCAAAAGCAGGTAATAACTACTAATAAAATGTCAGAAAGAGTTGAATTTAATCAATACGATTTAATGAAAAGTAACCTGGGGAGGTTTAGTAAAAGAGGAAACTAACACCAACAAAAAGGTAATCTACCTAATCAATGCTACCAAAATAAAGAAAGACGACACAGAAACAAAATGTAACAAAACAAAACAGCAGCGGCTTCCAGTCCCAGCCAGGACTCCTTAAAGCTGAGGGAAAAAACACAACGAGCTCGACGATTGTCGAGCCTGGAACCAAAACGGAAAGGACAAGCATGATGACAGCAGCTCTATAATGTGCAGATTTATGTCTCATGGGTGAACCAGGAAGTAGGAGGTACCAAAGCCTGCTTGAACCTACACTAGTTCAGGAGGGAAATTTCCTCGCTGGCTACGCAATGACCAATTTTACGTTTGATTTCTCTACTAATCTGTTTTCCAGTATGTGGCATCCCTCCGCTGAACACCAGGATAGTTGGAGGTGAAGACGCTCCAGCTGGAAGTTGGCCCTGGCAGGTCAGCCTGCAGAAAGATGGCGGCCATATTTGTGGTGGTTCCCTCATCAACAAAGAGTGGGTGATGTCTGCTGCTCACTGCTTCTCCAGGTGGGTCACTTTGACATTCTACAGGAAACAACCTCCAGTCTTCGTCTTTTGTGTTGGACTTCTAGTCCATTTTCTCTAACAATCCCATTTCTGTCATTTGTACTGCAGCGTCAGTACGTCTGGATGGCAGGTTTCGCTCGGCCGTCAGAACCTGCAGGGCGCGAACCCAAACGAAGTGTCCATAAATGTTGCCAGTATCATTTTGCATCCTCAATATAACATGGGGAGCAGATACAACAACGACATTTCTCTACTAAGACTCTCCTCACCAGTACAATTCACAAACTACATCAGACCCGTGTGTCTGGCAGCCAGTGACAGTGTGTTTAACAACGGTACTGGTAGCTGGGTCACTGGCTGGGGCGCCGTCAGGGAGGGAGGTGAGTCTGCTGGTTGCTGACTAGGAGTTATTTTCAAATGTCTTATGAACAGGAGATGGATGCGTGAGTTGTCTCTCCTCTTGTTGGTCTCAGTGTCGTTGCCGTCCCCTGGAACCCTTCAAGAAGTGCAGGTGCCGGTTGTGGGAAACAGACAGTGCTACTGTCTCAATGTCAAACTCGGTACTGTCACAGACAACATGATCTGTGCTGGTGTTCTGGCAGGAGGCAAAGACTCTTGTCAGGTATGCTGCTTTATTGAATCCGTCACTTTTTGGTGAATGTGTTTAGGATTTTCTGAAGTCTCCTCTCCATCTCCACCAGTGTTGGGCAAGTTACTGAGAATTAGTAATTAGTTACAGTTACTAGTTACTCTAAAAACAAGGTAATTCATTTACTTACCAGTTACTGTAAATCAATAGTAATTAGTTACTCGGGAAAGTAACTTTTAAGTTACTTTTATGTCTGCTTTTTAAATGTAATGAATATGAATAGTGCTTAACAGTCAAACACAATAAACATATTTTTTAGACCTATTTATTGTAATCAATGTGGATTACAGTAAATACAGTAATAATCCACACACTGATCTCCACAGGGCGACTCAGGAGGTCCAATGGTGAACAAGAAGGGCTCCGTCTGGGTCCAGTCTGGAATTGTTAGTTTTGGTGAAGGCTGCGCTCGGCCCAATCTGCCGGGAGTCTACACCAGAGTGTCCAGGTACCAGTCCTGGATCGACTCCCAAATCAGCTCTGATAAGCCGGGCTTCGTCCAGTTCACCTCCAATGGGCTGGATGCTGACAGCAGCTACACCTGTCCTGGTCTGCCACCTCCCGTTACACCAGCTACTACGACCACTAGCACTATTAGTACTGCAGGAACAAACAAAACTACAGATCCAGCATCCACAGCATCAAGTGCAACATGTAAGTATCCTGACAGCAACGATGTGTATATTTTAGTTGTTTAACGTCAGCCAGTTCTTGGTAATATATCTGTTTGCTATGATTATTTTCTGATTCTCACACACCTGTCCTGCTCCACCAGCTCCATCAACAACTACATCAATTACAAGACCAAGTGCTACTGCCCAAATTGTTACTAATCCTTCTAGTAAGTGTCCTGAAAAAATGCTTTATTCAACTATTTGAGCTTTATTCATAAAGCCTTCCCCTATCAATCACCCATGTCCGCCCCCCCCCCATTCTTTCACAGCACCGGTGTGTGGTAGAGCTCCATTGAACAGTCGTGCTGTAGGGGACAGTGGGGTCGTACCTGGGGGGACTTGGCCTTGGATGGTTCGTCTCCATAAAAATGGGCTTTACGCTTGTGGAGGAACCTTAATCACGAGAACAGTTGTTCTCACGTCTGCCCAGTGCTTCTCTTCGTAAGTGCAAATAGATCTTTTTTTACCGTTAAATGTTCATCAAAACATTAAGGAGTGAAATAATAGAATTGGTGTCCCTTTTTCCTCCTTTACAGCTCCAATCCAAACGCCAGTGAGTGGACAGCGTTTCTTGGCAGGAGTCTTGTGAACGTTTCTGGAGAGTTTGAGATTTCTCTTGGCATTGTGAACATCACCGTGAGCCAATTGGCGGGTTCTAATATTGGTCTGCTGCATCTCATCGAGCCAGTCAGCTACAAAGATAACATCCAGCCTGTGTGTATGGATGTTGCCGCTTCCAGGACCTTCCCCATTGGAAGTCAATGCTGGGTGGCAGGCTGGGAGAAGAGCACAGGTGAGGGTTTATCAAGCTTTTATATGTGTTGCTAACTTGAATGGCAGGATCCATCTTATCTAATAAGATTTTCTTTTTTTTATAGCCGCAGTTAGCTCAGTCCTTCGAGATCTCGAAACTCAGGTGGCAAGTTGTGGGAATGTTTCCGATTCTGAAAACATTTGCACTGTTACAATCAACCTTCAACAGGTAAAGATGTTCCTTCAGTAGTAGTATTTCTAAAATGATTTTGCCTTTTCCCCAATGCAGAGGTTTTCCCATTAGGAGATCTTTGACCTCACTGATGATGAATCATATGTTCTATATCTGCAGGAGGATCAGGGCGGCCCGTTGCTGTGCAAGTCCGGCTCATCCTGGTTTCAGGTGGCAGTCGTAACGATAAGTGGAACTAAATCTGTCCGCGCTGATGTTCAGGTCTTTGCCAAAGCTTCAAGATTCGGGTCCTTCCTAAGGGCGACGGTTGGCGACATCCCGTCTTCTGCAGAAGATGCAACAGGGAATTCAACGGCAGCAACAATGAATTCAACGGCAGCAACAGGGAATTCAACGGCAGCAACAGGGAATTCAGCGGCAGCAACAGGGAATTCAACGGCAGCACCTGGGAATGTGACGGCTGCAACAAGTAACGCAGAAAGTTTCTCAACTTCCCTTTTGCTGTCTTTTGCTGTGCCCATGACCTCAGTGTTTCTGTTATCGGGACTTTAAGTCTCTTGTCTCACAGATGTTTTTAAGGTTCATTACTGCTCTCTTCCCAAACTCTCTCAAATTCATTTACCACGTTCAGGTCATTTGTCAGTCACTTCCAAGGTTATATTTGTGTAACAAAAGCGTAGCATAGCGGTGCTTTGGGTGGTCCATTTGTCACTCACCCCCCATTCTGTTTGACACGTGGAGGAATTCTATGCTAATTCTATGCTCAGATAAATATTCATGGGTGAATCAGGAAGTAGGAGGTACCAAAGCCTGCTTGAACCTACACTAGCTCAGGAGGGAAATTTCCTCGCTGGCTACGCAATGACCAATTTTACATCTGATTTCTCTACTAATCTGTTTTCCAGTATGTGGCATCCCTCCGCTGAACACCAGGATAGTTGGAGGTGAAGACGCTCCAGCTGGAAGTTGGCCCTGGCAGGTCAGCCTGCAGAAAGATGGCCGCCATATTTGTGGTGGTTCCCTCATCAACAAAGAGTGGGTGATGTCTGCTGCTCACTGCTTCTCCAGGTGGGTCATTTTGACATTCTACAGGAAACAACCTCCAGTCTTCGTCTTTTGTGTTGGACTTCTAGTCCATTTTCTCTAACAATCCCATTTCTGTCATTTGTACTGCAGCGTCAGTACGTCTGGATGGCAGGTTTCGCTCGGCCGTCAGAACCTGCAGGGCGCGAACCCAAACGAAGTGTCCATAAATGTTGCCAGTATCATTTTGCATCCCCAATATAACATGGGGGGCAGATTCAACAACGACATTTCTCTACTCAGACTCTCCTCACCAGTACAATTCACAAACTACATCAGACCCGTGTGTCTGGCAGCCAGTGACAGTGTGTTTAACAACGGTACTGGTAGCTGGGTCACTGGCTGGGGCGCCGTCAGGGAGGGAGGTGAGTCTGCTGGTTGCTGACTAGGAGTTATTTTCAAATGTCTTATGAACAGGAGATGGATGCGTGAGTTGTCTCTCCTCTTGTTGGTCTCAGTGTCGTTGCCGTCCCCTGGAACCCTTCAAGAAGTGCAGGTGCCGGTTGTGGGAAACAGACAGTGCTACTGTCTCAATGTCAAACTCGGTACTGTCACAGACAACATGATCTGTGCTGGTGTTCTGGCAGGAGGCAAAGACTCTTGTCAGGTATGCTGCTTTATTGAATCCGTCACTTTTTGGTGAATGTGTTTAGGATTTTCTGAAGTCTCCTCTCCATCTCCACCAGTGTTGGGCAAGTTACTGAGAATTAGTAATTAGTTACAGTTACTAGTTACTCTAAAAACAAGGTAATTCATTTACTTACCAGTTACTGTAAATCAATAGTAATTAGTTACTCGGGAAAGTAACTTTTAAGTTACTTTTATGTCTGCTTTTTAAATGTAATGAATATGAATAGTGCTTAACAGTCAAACACAATAAACATATTTTTTAGACCTATTTATTGTAATCAATGTGGATTACAGTAAATACAGTAATAATCCACACACTGATCTCCACAGGGCGACTCAGGAGGTCCAATGGTGAACAAGAAGGGCTCCGTCTGGGTCCAGTCTGGAATTGTTAGTTTTGGTGAAGGCTGCGCTCGGCCCAATCTGCCGGGAGTCTACACCAGAGTGTCCAGGTACCAGTCCTGGATCGACTCCCAAATCAGCTCTGATAAGCCGGGCTTCGTCCAGTTCACCTCCAGTGGGCTGGATGCTGACAGCAGCTACACCTGTCCTGGTCTGCCACCTCCCGTTACACCAGCTACTACGACCACTAGCACTATTAGTACTGCAGGAACAAACAAAACTACAGATCCAGCATCCACAGCATCAAGTGCAACATGTAAGTATCCTGACAGCAACGATGTGTATATTTTAGTTGTTTAACGTCAGCCAGTTCTTGGTAATATATCTGTTTGCTATGATTATTTTCTGATTCTCACACACCTGTCCTGCTCCACCAGCTCCATCAACAACTACATCAATTACAAGACCAAGTGCTACTGCCCAAATTGTTACTAATCCTTCTAGTGAGTGTCCTGAAAAAATGCTTTATTCAACTATTTGAGCTTTATTCATAAAGCCTTCCCCTATCAATCACCCATGTCCGCCCCCCCCCCATTCTTTCACAGCACCGGTGTGTGGTAGAGCTCCATTGAACAGTCGTGCTGTAGGGGACAGTGGGGTCGTACCTGGGGGGACTTGGCCTTGGATGGTTCGTCTCCATAAAAATGGGCTTTACGCTTGTGGAGGAACCTTAATCACGAGAACATTTGTTCTCACGTCTGCCCAGTGCTTCTCTTCGTAAGTGCAAATAGATCTTTTTTTACCGTTAAATGTTCATCAAAACATTAAGGAGTGAAATAATAGAATTGGTGTCCCTTTTTCCTCCTTTACAGCTCCAATCCAAACGCCAGTGAGTGGACAGCGTTTCTTGGCAGGAGTCTTGTGAACGTTTCTGGAGAGTTTGAGATTTCTCTTGGCATTGTGAACATCACCGTGAGCCAATTGGCGGGTTCTAATATTGGTCTGCTGCATCTCATCGAGCCAGTCAGCTACAAAGATAACATCCAGCCTGTGTGTATGGATGTTGCCGCTTCCAGGACCTTCCCCATTGGAAGTCAATGCTGGGTGGCAGGCTGGGAGAAGAGCACAGGTGAGGGTTTATCAAGCTTTTATATGTGTTGCTAACTTGAATGGCAGGATCCATCTTATCTAATAAGATTTTCTTTTTTTTATAGCCGCAGTTAGCTCAGTCCTTCGAGATCTCGAAACTCAGGTGGCAAGTTGTGGGAATGTTTCTGATTCAGAAAACATTTGCACTGTTACAATCAACCTTCAACAGGTAAAGATGTTCCTTCAGTAGTAGTATTTCTAAAATGATTTTGCCTTTTCCCCAATGCAGAGGTTTTCCCATTAGGAGATCTTTGACCTCACTGATGATGAATCATATGTTCTATATCTGCAGGAGGATCAGGGCGGCCCGCTGCTGTGCAAGTCTGGCTCATCCTGGTTTCAGGTGGCAGTCGTAACGATAAGTGGAACTAAATCTGTCCGCGCTGATGTTCAGGTCTTTGCCAAAGCTTCAAGATTCGGGTCCTTCCTAAGGGCGACGGTTAGCGACATCCCGTCTCCTGCAGAAGATGCAACAGGGAATTCAGCTGCAGCAACAATGAATTCAACGGCAGCAACAATGAATTCAACGGCAGCAACAGGGAATTCAGCGGCAGCAACAGGGAATGTGACGGCTGCAACAAGTAATGCAGAAAGTTTCTCAATTTCCCTTTTGCTGTCTTTCGCTGTGCCCATGACCTCAGTGTTTCTGTTATTGGGACTTTAAGTCTGTTGTCTCACAGATGTTTTTAAGGTTCATTACTGCTCTCCTCCCAAACTCTCTAAAATTCATTTACCACGTTCAGGTCATTTGTCAGTCACTTCCCGGTGGGTTTCGGGGCAGAGGATGTTGTATGTGTACAGACTGTAAAGCCCTCTGAGGCAAATTTGTAATTTGCGATTATGGGCTATACAAAAGAAAATGAATTGGAAATGAATTGAATTAACAAAAGCGTAGCATAGCGGTGCTTTGTGTGGTTCGTTTGTCACTCACCCCCATTCTGTTTGACACGTGGAGGAATTCTATGCTAATTCTATGCAAAGCTAAATATTCATTAAGAACAACATTGTAACAATGACAACAACATTCAGTAATTGCCATTAATCAAGAATGAATTTCAAAATGTGCCATTAATTAGTTTTTTTATCGACGTCACACGTCAAATGTGCCCGCTTTTTGATGTGTGACGTTTAACGTTACATGTAAATGTAATATAACCATTAAAAACATATCTATTTCAGATTATAAAACCAGACAGGTTGTCACAGAGATGTGTTTCTGCGTGATGGACCAGACTCTCACCTCGTGAAACACACACAACATCTGTAATTGTGGGGTTTTTTTTCATCCCGTGGTGGCACTGCTGTCTCTTGTGTTTGTCTGCCGCTTCCTTGTGTACTTCCGTGTTGGGTTTAAGTGGCGTGAGGACCGACCAACCAGGTGAGGCGACATTCGAAAGGTCGTCTAATAGGAGAAGAGAGCATGATGGAGGGCGAGACAATACGGCAGACAGTAGGGATTTTTTTGGGGTGGGGATGACGCTGTTTTTCTGGAATTTATTGATGTTACGGGGATCATATTGGGACAAAAATACCTGCAGTCAAACCTAAGCATGTAGTCTTCCGCCGCAAACTAAAGACACACCTCTTCAGACTCTACCTCGACTAAAGACTAACAAATTGTAGCACTTAAATTGTACTTGTAACGTCACTCATCTATAGCAAATTGTAAATTGCCTTATTTGAGGAAATTGCACTTTCTTGTTTCTTGTTCTCCTGAGTTTGTACCCTATGGTTGAATGCACTTATTGTACGTCACTTTGGATAAAAGCGTCCGCTAAATGACATGTAATGTAATGTAAATGTAATGTAGTATGTAAGATTTAACTAACAACTAAAGTACAGCACAAACTAATACAATGTATTTGACCATACGGGGGGTGGGGGAGTGGACTCTACGGCCGACGAGGTTGAAGAGGAACCACCGCGGCTCGGACCGATGTGGCGGGAGTGCGTGACTAAAGACGGAAATGAGTGACTGTCACGCTCAATGCGTGACACTTGAGAGCCCTGAAGTCGCCTAATTGCTGCAACTAAACTGGAGCACATATATTGGTCAAACAGGAAACTAGATTCCGATACACAATTCATCAGAATTAATTACAATAAAGACCTAAAATAAGATTTTGAAACCGAGCCCCTGGGCAAGACTAGATACACATTTCAGGTAATTAAGCAGGAGGAATAGATAATAAAAAATGATGATATAATGCATTTTTTGTTCTTAACAGGTGTCTTCTATACTTAAATCCACATTCATTGGATTTCACAGACGCATGGCCAGCCAGGGGCCGATTATTTGTTGCCCTGCTGAGATTTGATTGGCTTAATGCTAAAGAGGATTGACCTTGTTTGCAGGAAGGTTTTGGTTATTGTATTGTTTCTTTTGAGGAAGTTTGGAACTGAAAATTATGTTGATTATCGCCAACGTCAACCATTTTAATTTCTGTCACTGTGTGACAAAAATTAATATTTTTGTCACACATATGTATATATATGTTCCCATGTATTATAACGACTAGTAAATAAGACTAATAGACTAGTAAATTAGACTAGTAAACATATTAAAACTATTTTTCCTCAAAATCCAGATTAAAGAAGGACCTACCCCATGGTTACCTGCCTATTTAGATGTGGTTTCAATTTTTGAATTTCCTCACTAGTAGTTATTGTTTCTCTTGAGGAAGGTTGAAACTGAAAAATACGTTGATTATCGACCGCAACAACATTCTAATGTCCGTCCCTTCGATGAAAGACTTGAGATTAAACAGTTTCAACACAACGCTGCTCCCTATATACATAAAGGCTAGCACACAAGATACATACAGGGTATTCTGAAGTAGAATTTTAAAATATGAAGATATTGTCCCTCAAAATCCAGATTAAAGAAAGGACCAACCCCGACATTACCAGCCCATGTGGATTTAGTGGTTTGAATTAAATGTCCTCACTAGTAGCACACTGCCAGGACAAACATCCTTTGTTTCAGTTTTTCTGTGTCTGCTGCCAGAAGGTGTCACAATATGCCCTTTAAAGTCCCGTTGAATGCTGTGACGTATTCCTCAGTCAAACCAAATATTTGAGAGGTGTACAGCCAGATAGAAATATTTAAGCAGCTAATTTCAGAGTTCCTCATTCCAGTTGGATTTTCATAGTGTACTGTTACTGATGTCATTTCATAATTCTTATCAGCTCTTGAAATATATTTCTTTGTGTTTACACTGAAAGACAACAACGGTAGTTATCAGTGAAGAGTCGCAGTGCGGCGGCGCTGATTCATTGATGGTCATTGAACGACCGGCGTCTTCAACATTTTTGCTTCCGCGTTGACAAAAATGCAGCTGAACCGCCTTTCTATCTCAACAAAACACATAACTTCTCATTCTGTTTGAGACTCATCTTCATCAACAGTGAATGATGCCAGCAGATTGTGTTGTGAGTTCAGAATATACTTATTTGGATTACTTTCTATAGATGTGCCTCAAGCAGCTTGATTATTATGAGCACGTTAAAGCTGGTCGGTTAAACATCAGTAACGTAATAAAAAGGTCATTGGTTTCTGAAATGTCACGTTTACCTCGGCTGCAGTTTGCAGAAGTATCAAATGTTTCAGAATGTGTTTGTTTAATCTGGCTGTAAATTATTTAATGAACTATCTCCATCGAAACTTTAAGTCTCACTGAGAAATAAGGACAGCACTTAGGAATTAGGACAGCACATGACATTACGTTACTGAATCAATGGGGAGCGGCTCGGGGGAGGGGCATAGCTGACAGGTGAGCGACTATAAAGGCTGACAAACCAGAACGGTGCAGTAATCACAAAATGACTTTGAAGAAGTGGATCTGTCTCTTGACGGTGGCCAGCCTTTTATGGGCAGGTAAGTCACACTAAAATCAAACTAACACTTTTTTGAGCTGCGAGTCCTTGTGAAATAGGTTGAAATACAAGGGTAGGCCAATAAGTCAAAATATATCAACCTCACATTTTTATGGCTTCAATGGGAAAATGTATGGTTTGTATTCTAACTAATGAATATCTAGATGAACATAATTATGACATAACATAGTTTTGCAATAAATACTGAATTCTAATGCCGTCGTGGTTTCAAAGCCCTTGGATTGAGTCTTTGCTCCGAGATGGTGACATCAGGACCGCAGAGAGCCTTCACATGGTCCGCCGCAAACTAAAGACACACCTCTTCAGACTCTACCTCGACTCAAACGACTAACAAATTGTAGCACTTAAATTGTACTTAAAATGGCTCTTATCTATAGCTTAAGTTGTAAATCAGCTTATTTGATGAAATTCCACTTTCGTGTTTCTTGTTCTTTTGAGTTTGTACCCTTATGGTTGAAATGCACTTATTGTAAGTTGCTTTGGATAAAAGCGGCAGCTAAATGATATGTAATGTAATGTAATAGTATGTGAGAATCCTGTAACCCTTTGCTAATCACTTAACGGACTCATGTATGATTAAAAACAAAAAAGGCTGTGTATGTCTCATTGATTTACAAACCTTCACTTGAGAAAAGCCAATGGGATTTTTATAACCTGTTAATCAAATATATATGGAGGATGTACGAAGCATTAGTACATGATTTACCAAAGCCTCACGGAAAATATCTTTAAAGTTAGTGGTTGTTTTTTTGCAACATGTAAACAGAATCTAGGCTGTTTCTATTGTTTTGTAGCTTTATTTGTATATTGATATTAACCCAGTTGTGGTGTCTCTTTCCCAGAATCACATGCTCAGCTTGGTGGTAAGTTTTTAACATTATGAGATCCAATTAATGTCTGCATTACATATTGTATCTGCATTTCAGAGAGATTTACCTGTTAACTGTATAAGCACATTGCATTTGTAACGGTACCACAGTGTGTTGTGTTGTTTAACAACCACAGATCCAAAGGTGACGAAGTAAACAGACTGAGGAAAAGGATTCTGCTAGATGACATTTATTTAAACATTTAACCAATATAAATTCAAATCAAAAGCAGGCAATAACTGAGAAAATACCACGACAAACACGACGGAGAATGTCAGAAAGAGTTGAATTTAACCAATACGACATACGCCAGACGATGGTGGATTCGGGCTGCACGCAGTCTATGATTCACCAGAGCCTGGTTCGGCAGGGGGCACTGGTGGTGGCAGACCGGGTGAGAATACGGTGTGTGCATGGGGATGTTCACGAGTATCCTGTGGTATCGGTGGGAAGGAGATATGCGGGGGAAAAGCATAGAATGAAGGGTTATACAAGATGTGCGCTGTGCTCAGCGGTGACTCGGGCAGTGGGGCCGAGTGCGAAATGTGGCCGGTGGTAGCTGCCTTTGTGTATCGGCAGGTTGCATTGGTCGGTGGTAGGTTCCTCCTCCTCATGCAAATGACATGTTAACGAGTATCTTCACGGCCACGCGTTCCGCCGTAAATCATTGTTTCTAACTTGATTGAGAATCAGGCACAACACAGCGACCTGCAAGCAGCGCAGCGTCTTAAATAAAGTGATGTGTGTCTCAATGCGATGCTTTAGAAATGAACACAAAGGGATTCTGTATTTGTTCATGAAGTCTGAAAGGGTCATTTGGGCAACGTTTTGATAACCGACCGCAGCGAGCGGAGAGAGAGCGCCAGCGGACTGACAGCAGCCCCCCCGCCCCGCAGCCCCCTCCGCACCCCGGCCAAACCGTTCACTCGACCACTAGATATGGGTTATTTAGCGTGCGCGATCGATACATATGCCCCTTTATTATTTTAGCCTACGCTGTGGACGGCAGCTCGCCGCGACCTCGATAGCTACCTCACTTTATTTAAGACGCTGCGCTGCTTGCAGGTCGCTGTGTTATCCCTGATTCTCAATCAAGTTAGAAACAATGATTTACGGCGGAATATGAAGATGCCCGTGAAGATACTCATTAACATGTCATTTGCATGAGGAGGAGGAACCTACCACCGACCAATGCAACCTGCCGATACACAAAGGCAGCTACCACCGGCCACATTTCGCACTCGGCGTCACTCGACTCGGGGTCGTCCGACACTGCAGACGGGGAGGGAGAACCCGCGGAGCCTCCCGTAGAGACTCCGCCGGCTCCCGAGTTTCGCTCCATGGAAGATTTTCCGCTCTAACGGTCTCGTGACGATACCCTACGCTCAGCCTACGACCAAGTGATACGTGTTGATGGTCACCCGGTGCGCCCTGACGCAGCGCAGTCATTTCCGCACCTTTCGTTGATTAGGGACAGACTGCAAAGAGTGAGTCGTGACACTCCGACGGGGCAGGAAAACACTCAGTTGCTGGTGCCGAAAAGCCGCCGGGAAATGATCTTCCAGGCGGCTCGCTATAACCCGATGGCTGGTCACATGGGATACGCGAAAACGCTAGACCGGATAATGACCCGATGTTATTGGCAAATACATCCGGGGGGCGTGCGCCGCCGGTGTGCGTCCTGCCCGGAGTGTCAGTTAGTGAACACTCCGGCCATTCAGAGGGCGCCGTTGCGTCCTCTGCCGTTGGTGGAGGTCCCGTTCGAGCGGATCGGCATGGACCTCATCGGGCCGTTTCACCGGAGCGCACGCGGATATCGCTTTGTGTTGGTCCTCATTGGTTGCGCAACGCGGTATCCGGAGGCAGTGCCGCTGCGCAACATCTCTGCAAAAAACGATCGCGCAGGCTCTTGTTTCAGGTCATCTCCCGAGTTGGAATCCCTAAGGAGATTCTGACTGACCAGGGCACCTCGTTCCTGTCGCGCACACTGAGAGAACTTTACAGGTTACTGGGCATTAAGTCCTTTCGTACTAGCGTGTATCACCCCCAGACGGACGGGCTGGAACGCATGAATAAGACTCTGAAGTCCATGATCCGTAAATTCATTAGCGAAGATGAACGTAATTGGGACCACTGGCTTGACCCTCTGTTGTTTGCAGTGCGGGAGGTGCCCCAGGCCTCCACAGGATTTTCTCCCTTTGAGCTTTGGTTTGGCAGGGGTGCTGGACCTGATTAAAGAAAGCTGGGAGGAAGGTCCAAGCCCCTGCAAGAATGCGATCCAGTACGTCCTGGACCTCTACCTTGAAGTAGGAGAGATCCAGCGACAGCAAAAAAGGCTGGCGAAGGAGTTGGAGCCGATCGTGTGTGCTGTCCAAAAACGGTTCAATAAAGACTGTTGCTAAACCAGTACGCTGTATCCTCGTCATTTCCCGTCCCCCCAAGAGGACCGCATGTTACAAACAGTTTAGTAAAAGACCGGAAACACCACCAAAAAGGCAATCTATGATTAAAAAGTACTTTAACTAAGTAAATAATTAATTTTCTTGAACGATGGCTTATTCATTGTTGTTATAAAGTTATAACCATGACTCAATCTCAACAAACATAAGACAAGTAGCTCCGACCGCTTGGTGCTCCTAGATGAAGTGTGTAAAGAATTTCTGGCGACCGCCGAAGAGCAACGTCAGTTGTAATGGCGTAACACCGGTATGAACGGTACGTGAGAAATTCATACCGCACGTAAATCTTATACCGGTATACCGTGTAGCCCTAGATACCAACCCCAGCCAGGACTTTGTGTTATTTCCACCTGGGCCGACTCACACCTGGTTTGGGGCTCCCTGACGAGCTGGATCTGGGGCACAAACCGGAAGGACGGACCAATGGCCAAACAATTCTCCTTAAAGCTGAGAAAACCCCCACAAACGAGCTGAATGGATTGTGGAGCCGGGCCCGGCACGGAAAGGACAAACATGATGACAGCAGCTCTATAATGTGCAGATTTTTATGTATCATGGGTGAACCAGTAGGAGTAGGAGGTACCAAAGCCTACTTGAACCTACAGTAGCTCAGGAGGGAAAAAGTATTTTAATTCAATTAAATAAGTATTAGTCTTGACCGATTTTACGTGTGATTTCTCTATTAATCTGTTTTCCAGTATGTGGCATCCCTCTGCTGAACACCAGGATAGTTGGAGGTGAAGACGCTCCAGCTGGAAGTTGGCCCTGGCAGGTCAGCCTGCAGAAAGATGGCGGCCATATTTGTGGTGGTTCCCTCATCAACAAAGAGTGGGTGATGTCTGCTGCTCACTGCTTCTCCAGGTGGGTCACTTTGACATTCTACAGGAAACAACCTTCAGTTTTCGTCTTTTGTGTTGGACTTCTAGTCCATTTTCTCTAACAATCCCATTTCTGTCATTTGTACTGCAGCATCAGTACGTCTGGATGGCAGGTTTCGCTCGGCCGTCAGAACCTGCAGGGCGCGAACCCAAACGAAGTGTCCATAAATGTTGCCAGTATCATTTTGCATCCTCAATATAACATGGGGAGCAGATTCAACAACGACATTTCTCTACTAAGACTCTCCTCACCAGTACAATTCACAAACTACATCAGACCCGTGTGTCTGGCAGCCAGTGACAGTGTGTTTAACTACGGTACTGGTAGCTGGGTCACTGGCTGGGGCGCCGTCAGGGAGGGAGGTGAGTCTGCTGGTTGCTGACTAGGAGTTATTTTTAAATGTCTTATGAACAGGAGATGGATGCGTGAGTTGTCTCTCCTCTTGTTGGTCTCAGTGACGTTGCCGTCCCCTGGAACCCTTCAAGAAGTGCAGGTGCCAGTTGTGGGAAACAGACAGTGCTACTGTCTCAATGTCAAAGTCGGTACTGTCACAGACAACATGATCTGTGCTGGTGTTCTGGCAGGAGGCAAAGACTCTTGTCAGGTATGCTGCTTCATTGAATTCGTCCCTTGTTGGTGAATGTGTTTAGGATTTTTTGAAATCCTCTAAAGTCTCCTCTCCATCTCCTCAGGGCGACTCAGGAGGTCCAATGGTGAACAAGAAGGGCTCCGTCTGGGTCCAGTCTGGAATTGTTAGTTTTGGTGAAGGCTGCGCTCGGCCCAATCTGCCGGGAGTCTACACCAGAGTGTCCAGGTACCAGTCCTGGATCGTTTCCCAAATCAGCTCTGATAAGCCGGGCTTCGTCCAGTTCACCTCCAGTGGGCTGGATGCTGACAGCAGCTACACCTGTCCTGGTCTGCCACCTCCCGTTACACCAGCTACTACGACCACTAGCACTATTGGTAAAAAATGTTATTCACCTTCTTAAACGACCTTCTTTTATTAGTTTTATTCATAAAGCCTTCCCCTATCAATCACCCATGTCCGCCCCCCCACATTCTTTCACAGCACCAGTGTGTGGTAGAGCTCCATTGAACAGTCGTGCTGTAGGGGACAGTGGGGTCGTACCCGGGGGGACTTGGCCTTGGATGGTTCGTCTCCATAAAAATGGGGTTTACGCTTGTGGAGGAACCTTAATCACGAGAACATTTGTTCTCACGTCTGCCCAGTGCTTTTCTTCGTAAGTGCAAATAGATCTTTTTTTACCGTTAAATGTTCATCAAAACATTAAGGAGTGAAATAATAGAATTGGTGTCCCTTTTTCCTCCTTTACAGCTCCAATCCAAACGCCAGTGAGTGGACAGCGTTTCTTGGCAGGAGTCTTGTGAACGTTTCTGGAGAGTTTGAGATTTCCCTTGGCATTGTGAACATCACCGTGAGCCAATTGGCGGGTTCTAATATTGGTCTGCTGCATCTCATCGAGCCAGTCAGCTACAAAGATAACATCCAGCCTGTGTGTATGGATGTTGCCGCTTCCAGGACCTTTCCCATTGGAAGTCAATGCTGGGTGGCAGGCTGGGAGAAGAGCACAGGTAAGGGTTTATCAAGCTTTTATATGTGTTGCTAACTTGAATGGCAGGATCCATCTTATCTAATAAGATTTTCTTTTTTTTATAGCCGCAGTTAGCTCAGTCCTTCGAGATCTCGAAACTCAGGTGGCAAGTTGTGGGAATGTTTCTGATTCAGAAAACATTTGCACTGTTACAATCAACCTTCAACAGGTAAAGATGTTCCTTCAGTAGTAGTATTTCTAAAATGATTTTGCCTTTTCCCCAATGCAGAGGTTTTCCCATTAGGAGATCTTTGACCTCACTGATGATGAATCATATGTTCTATATCTGCAGGAGGATCAGGGCGGCCCACTGCTGTGCAAGTCCGGCTCATCCTGGTTTCAGGTGGCAGTCGTAACGATAAGTGGAACTAAATCTGTCCGCGCTGATGTTCAGGTCTTTGCCAAAGCTTCAAGATTCGGGTCCTTCCTAAGGGCGACGGTTGGCGACATCCCGTCTCCTGCAGAAGATGCAACAGGGAATTCAACGGCAGCAACAATGAATTCAACGGCAGCACCTGGGAATGTGACGGCTGCAACAAGTAACGCAGAAAGTTTCTCAATTTCCCTTTTGCTGTCTTTTGCTGTGCCCATGACCTCAGTGTTTCTGTTATTGGGACTTTAGGGCTCTTGTCTCACAGCCGTTTTTAAAGTTCATTACTGCTCTCTTCCCAAACTCTCTTAAATGCATTTCTGGTCATTTGTCATGCACTTCCAAGGTTATATTTGTATAACAAACATTTTCACTGTTTTATTTTATTGTTTCCTTAAATTGTAGAGCAAAAGATATTTTTCAATGACATGAATGAAGGACAACTGATGGCATTTTTTCTATGCATTTTTTCTAAGACGTGATGAGTGATGTCTAACAGTAAATATTCTTTATAAAATTAAAATTAAAAGCCTAATTTCTAATCACAAGTATAATAAATGATGATAAAGCATGAACTCAGCTTCTCAATATATACATACAAATTCTGAATACAGTACATAAATGATTATTTCCATTTCAACATCAACATTTCTCCAAAACATTTGAAACATGTATAGCTTGCAAATATAAAAGCAAAAAGGTCTCATTGTAGCCTACAATGTGTTATTTTGATCAACAATTGTCTGTGCCCAAAATCCCTATGAACTAGAGGAACGTAGTGCACTTAAAATATACATATACTGTATATATTTTAAGTGCACTGCGTTCATCCTCCCTCTTATTTTAATGCCCCAATTTATTTGTGATATATAGATGCCATTAAATTCCTCCTAGGTACATTTGAGTGTCTATAGTACTGCGGTTCCCAACCTTTTATCATCATTCATAATATCAACCAATTTTCCCCGCTAGGACTTTAATTTGAATGATAATTTATAGGGAGTAGAAGAGGTTTGACTACAGCAATCACAGGGGTTGGGACTGCGATAAGTGGTAACAAGTGGTTACCCCTTATTGCAGTGCCAACCCCTCTTGCCATCCTCTGTTATTGGAAATAGTGAATGACAGACTAAGGGATTGATTTCAAACTGAGTTTTCTACTTCTGTAGATTACTTAAAATGGGAAAATATTATAAAAATGCTTGAACACGGATTAATGAAACGGATGAAGCAATCAGCGTTGACGCAGGCAGCGCTGCAGATGTTCTCTTGTTTTGTTTTCAGCTGTAATCATCAGACTATAATATATATTTGAATATATTTGATCTATAAAAAGCTGCTGTCTGATAAACATCGGCACCGTTTAAATATTTTAATTTGGTGAGAGTGCGTCTTCATCGTCCGCCGCATTATCGTTAATCATTTCCTTGTATTTACTCTTGAAGAATCCAGCCTGAGGAACAAAAGAAAATATTTGTATTAAAACATGAATAATGAATGAATGAAAAAAATACACCATTACAGAGTATTCAGTTCTATTAAGTGGGGTACAGCAATTCAGCCATTTAGTGAGCCAGCATTCACACTATCAGTACCTTGACCCCCCTAAATTACGCCAAGTCATGGTACGGGTCGCACTTGAGTTCACTCTAAAAATGTCCAAATGTCTTCATTGCCTCCAAAAAGCGGCTTTCTAAACTGAAGCAGTGTTTGTCAGTGTCTCACCTTATACAGGCCGGCAGTGAGTAGCACCAGGAGAGCTAACCCTCCCAGCGATCCTCCAACAATCTCTTTGGTGAAGTCTGGTTCAGCATACACTTCTACCTCCGCCTCAATCTGAACAGTGAAATGATGTAACATGTGCATCACACTCCAGCTCTGTTGAAACGCAAAGAGGTCAAAACGACGTGTAATCGCCTACCTTGTGAACAGGGGGGTTGTTGTAAGACCCCGTTGAGAAAAAGATGTACTGCTTGCTGTCGTACTCCAGACTGGCCGTGCTGATCAAGAGGAATTTGGCAGATTGAAGTCCAATCTTTTTGAGGAGAAACAAAATGAAGAGTAGGATGAGCCTATCGAATTTATCTCCTGTGACGTGAATGAGCAGTGAATTAGTAACTCATTATTATGGATATTTTACTGCAAACCGTTGAAATGCTCGGCAAGTATGTGTTAGTTTGTTCAATGACAACACATCCTTTACCTGCTCATTATTATGGATATTTTACTGCAAACCGTTGAAATGCTCGGCAAGTATGTGTTAGTTTGTTCAATGACAACACATCCTTTACCTGCTCAATCCATTCAGAACTGAGGTTGGCAGAGATTTGGTACGTTTTACTCTCCAGTCGTCCCATGAGCTTACTGCACTTGAAAACCGCGCACGTGGCTACAGAGCAGTCCTGTTGGTGTTTTCAGAGAAAGCAGTAATGAAAAGAATACTGGTTATATTGATGTAACACCAGTTCTATGAGTGAATGTTGGAGCCCTTAAATGGGCTTTGCAACTACTCGCATATGTCAGAGGGATACCTACCACTGACTTGTTTTTCTGTATCTCACCAATAAAACCTGTGCCTTTAGGTTGTTCATCAAAGCCTCTTTGGCAGTCTGGAATCTGAAATACAGTAAATTCATGTTGTATTTATCGCGATCAGACTTGTGTGATCATATCCATCCATGAGACTGTAGTTGTGTAAAACAACTACAAATTCCCACCTGCAAGCTGCTGGAATCCGCCCAGATGTCTTTATCGCCGAGCCTCACGGGCACCCGAATCACCACAGTGAAATTCAGCGCTCTGATATCATTTGTAACCTACGAGAAGGAGAAAATAGAAAAGGCCGGTAGGTATCACACAATGTACACAAGCATTGAGGTGAAGTCATTTAGGTTTTTTAATATTTAGTGATAGAATTATGTAAGACAGTTTACCACAATGGATTGTTGGACTGGTTTGTGCAGATTATTCTTGCCGAATGAAAAATTGCTGTAGCTGAGGGAGCTAAATGGATATAAAAATAATTGACAGAGTATTAGACGAAAAGACACCAGGTTAAATGTTATATTATAGTATTATGCTATAGTAGTACTAGATACTGTATACTTTTATTTAGTTTCACATAAACAACACACACCTTTCAATTGTAGCAAAAATGCTGTACTTCACATCAATGTCCTTGTTTCTGTAGAGTTTGCTTGAACTGGAGTGCTCCAGATTCCCACTAAAAGAAAGTCAAAATGATTTGTAGAAATGCAAATGAATGTGTACTGTTGCACACTTGCAGGTTGCCGTGTTTCTCATGCGGGTAGGTGAGCAGTACCTGGTAACATTTGCAGAGAAAGAAATGCTCCTAGCAAGTTGGCTTCCAGTGTCAATCCCATAGGAGATGATGAAGAACACCTAAATGACCCAAAGGAAATGAATCAGATGGCCTCTTCTGTCTCTGCAGTAGTGAGTAAAGATGATTCTGTCCAGAGATCAAACCTTAGAGCCGCTCTTCAAAATAGGCTTGTCGACAGTGCAGTCCGTCTTCCCTCTCGTTACACCATCTTCACTGTCCAAGGAGCTGCACTCAATTCTCCCCTTGATTACAAACACATGAGTTTGACCGGAGAAAGCAGCTGACCAGAGAGCAACTGAAACGAAAACTGATCCTGCCGTTTTACCTGCAGGGGTGTAAACTTCCTGAAAGAGAGTCCGGTTGGATAAGAGACGATGACCCGGCTGTTGTAGGAGTTTTCCCCTCTGTTCTCCACTGAGACGGTGACATCCAACAGTTCATCAATGCCCACTTTAACCTCTGAGGATCTGATAGATTGTTGTGAGGAAAAAGGAGTCAGAAGAAAAACAAAGGAACTTAACTTTGTTTGTGCTTCTTATTTGTAGCTCACTTGGTGAAGTTGAAATCCACTTTTAAGTCATCAACACAGTTATTGTCGTTGCCGCAATTGATCTCGAACCCCAACTGTGGAAGAGAGTTTGAAGTAAAGCATGTTGGTTCAGGTGTGAGAACTGACACAAGGAAAACTATTATTCTGAAGTTCATTAAGACTTTTTCCGCTAAGACGATTTATTTTTAGTACTTACAGGATGTACGGTTGTTTTCTGCGCCTGCAGGGCGAGACTAGGACTGGGATTTGGGGGGATAGGTAAACCTTCAAAGGCGAATTTGAGTTCATTGGAAAGTGCATTTAGAGCATCTTCTGGACAAGCCTGCAAGAAGAAGGTTGTGCGCTATTGTAACATTTATTTTTCTAAATAGTGAAGGTTGGATTAATTAACGCAACATCGGCATCAAACATTTGATTTTACAATACGAGAGAGGCTGTAATTTTTAAAGTTGTGCGCGTCTAACAACTCACCTGAACAAAGAACTTCACCGTGTTGCATACAGGCCGAATTAAGTCAATTTGAACTGTTCCTTTTGTCTCTCGTTGTTTCCCGTTAAAGTAGGCCCGGTTGTTTGGGACTTTGCGAGTGGCGTCCAGCGTTAGATCGTAGCTAATATTTGCTGTAACTGGAACAGATTGGTTTGTCATTAAGAGGTTTCTCTTTAAAGTATTTAAATGACAGTGGAGCATCGGGTACCTTTGTCTACTTTGGAGCGCCTGGTCATGGTAAAGCAGATTTCTGCTGTAATCTCCAAAGGATTTGAGCAGTCAGAGTTTTGAGTCGAGATTCGATTTGGGTTGAACGACACTGTAGCTTCCACCATCACTATTGGCTTGGATCTGGAAATGAACAGAGCGTGAAAACACACGAGGATAACCATTGGCTTTGTGATCGGGAGGCTAAAAAAACGCTGCAGAAAACCAAACGGGTTCTTAGCTGCCCAAAGAGACTGAATGACTGAAGGTCTGCACACATCGGAAAGGTAAAGTCTGATGAAGTATGTAGACAGAAGCAACTTGGATGGATTCACCTTAGTAAGACAACTGCACCCTTTGAACCGATCGCTAACTCAGGCAGCCCATCATCACTGTGGTCAAAAGACGACTGACTGATCGACAGGCCGAAGAACCTCAATGATGACCGGACTTCAGATGCTGCAATTCTCTGTGATGACCGGAATATTTTAATCATTTAAGTTGGAAAAAAATGCTTGATTGCTGCGGCAAACATGGAACTATAAATGCTGGACCTCACTCACCTGTGAGTAAGAAGAGCTGATTCCTCCTCCTACTCCTCCTTCTCCGTGGAATATGTAGATGCTGCCTTGGCCGTTGTTCTCCAAAGGCGCTCCAACTGCCAAGTCGCTGAGACCGTCGGTGTTGAGATCAGGCAGTACAGCCAGAGAAGACCCGAACCGTCCTTTGTCAGAGACCTCCCCTCTCAGTATTGATGGAGAGTCTAAGCGACACTCCACATCCTGGTGGAAATATACAGACGAGAGTCAACGTTTGCATGGTCGTTAGAAAAAAAGATAGATTTTAATGCTCCAAATCAAATAAATAATAATTTACCAAACCAGTCAAGCTGCAAACGTAAACTCTTCCCTCTCTGTCAGAGTCCATGAACATTGGGGCAGATATGAGGATTAAGTCAGTGTAGCTGTCAAGATCCACGTCCATCG